ACTGTCAGGAGTAATTCCTGAGTGCATGAGCCAGAAGTAACCCCTGTGCACTGCCACATGTGACATAAAAAGAAAAAAAATTAAGACAATAAGGTGACCCAAAAAAAGCTGCCTGTAAGGCCATCAATGTAAGACTGTTCGTTTGTTTGTTTGTCTTGCCTGTTACAAATTATTTAAATATAGGGGTCTGGAAGATGGCTCATAAATGTGGGATGCACTCTTTGTACGGGAGGCTCCCAGGACAATCGCCCCAATGCCGGCTTCCCCACTCCCAGCACTGCCTGGAACTGCAAAAATATCTCATTAACTTATTATTACTTAATTTTCAGTGCTGAGATTTGCACGCTTGCAAGGCCCTGTGGTAGCACCAAGTTACAACCCCTCCCCTTAACAATTAATGTCTTTTAAACTTCAAATGATTGTAAATTCACAGACATTTAGATGGAAGGATACAGAGGGAGTTCAGATGTGGCACAGTGTGCTCTGGGGGGCACTTGCTCTGCATATATGAGGCCCTGGGTTCCAGCCCCAGCCCAAGAAAAGGAAGGGAGGGAGGGAGGGAGAGAGGGAGGGTGGGAAAGAGGGAGGGAAGGAAGAGAAAGAAGGAAGGAAGGAGGGAGAAAGGGAGAGAGGGAAGAAAGGGAGGGAGGGAGGGAGGGAGGGAGGGAGGGAGGGAAAAAAGAAAGAAGGGAAGGAAGGTGGGAGGAAGGGGAGGAAAGAAAGAGGGAATGAAGGAAGGAAGATAGGAAGGAAGGAAGGAAGGAAGGAGGGAGGGAGGGAGGGAGGGAGGGAGGGAGGGAAGGAAGGAAGGAAGGAAGGAAGGAAGGAAGGAAGGAAAAAAGGAGTAAAGGGAGGTTGGGTAGGCTTTTTTGTCTTGTTTTGTTTCTTTTAGGCCACACCCAGCAGAGCTCAGGAATCACCCCTGACAGTACTTCGAAGGACCATATGGGATACTGGGAATTGATCCTGGGTCAGCCACATGCAAGGCAAGCTCCTTACCTCCACTCCTATCTCTCCAGCCCCTGGAAGGTGCTTTTATAGGACTGCCACCCCCTTCCCATCCCCTCGACCCTGGTCGCATAAATTGATTTTCTGTATCTATTGATTTTAACACTGCAGATGTGTTATCGAATCAATGTTAATTCTCGAACTGTATCAACAGTTATACTTGTTTACTACATTAAAACAAATTTTTAAAAACATCCTCAGGGGAAAACAGAAGAAAAGGCGGGGCTCAGGAGTGGGGCGGGTCCTGGGGGCGGGACAGAATTCTAGAGGAGCCTGGATTGGCTGAGGGTGACAGAGAAGGCAGGGCTTGCGTGGGGGCGGGCTCTGGAGGCGGGGCGGAGCTCCTGCGGAGCCTGGATTGGCTGAGGGTGACAGCGAAGGCGGGGCTTGTGGGGGGCGTGGCGGGAGGCGGGCGAGGACGCCAAGATGGCGGCGAGCGAGCGTCCGGGCTTCGCGCAGGGCGCCGGCCCGCACCTCAGGTAGCTACCCGCGCCGCCGCCGCCCTTCCCGGGGGGAGCCGCGGGTCGGCGTCTCTAGGCCGGGGCCCGCCGAGCTCCGCGGCCGCGAGGGGCGTCCGTCTGGGCAAAGGAGGAGGGCGCGAGGCGGGCGCGGCGGGTGCAGAGCCGGGCGCTGGGGCCCGGCCGCCGAGGGGACCCCGGGGGCACCTCTCAGGGGGGCGGGGCGGGGTGGCGGCAACGGCGGAGAGCTGGGGGCTTGGGAGGCAGGAGGGGAGCATAGGGAAGAGAGGGGGGAGAGGGCCCCGTGAGCCTCCCCCCACCCCCATCTGCAGCCCCGCTGAGCTCCGGGACGGCTCCGGGCTGCATCAGCCCCCGAGACCGCATTCAGGCAGGCGGGCAGGGCTGGCTGGGCTGGCAGTGGGGCACAGACGTGCACGCATGCATGCATGCATGCACACGCGCGTACACACGCACGCACACACCGGCACGTACTTGCACACACGCACGTCAATGTATACGCACACGGGCGCACACGCTTGCGCACACGTAAACACTTGCGCACACGCGGGTACACACAGGGGCTTGCACGCCTGCACGCACCTGCACATGTAGACGCACATGCACGAGCACACCTACCCACGCGCACGTACGCGCCGACGCATGAAAACATACGAATGCATGCATGCATGCAGGCCCACTCCTCGCACGTACACGCACGAGTGTACGCACTCACGCACAACACCAAGTTTCCTCCTCAATGCCCTGAGACGCACCACACACACACACACACACCCCATCATCGTCCTCATCATCATCATCATCATCAGTTTTCATTGCTCTGCACATGTTTTTTCTTCTCACCCTGGCAACCTCCTGGGCCAGCTCCTGTCTGAAGCTGTGGAGCACTGAAAACCACAGAGAGGGAGGGAGGGGGGGGAGGGAGGGAGGAGTGAGAGAGATGGGGGAGTGAGAGAGAGGGGGGAGAGATTGCTGCGACTAGGTGGCAGTGGATGTCCACCCCTCCTGCTGCCCATTTCTTTGGCCAGCCTGTGTCACAGACGCAAAGCATGACCCTCTGTGGCTGGGGTGGGAGGGGTGGGGGAAGGGGGTTGTCTAGCCTTGATTCATCATCTCTGCTCTCCCTGGTTCTGGGGACAGTGGGGGACAGGGACAGAGAACCTAGCTCCTGACTCCCGCTCTGAGACTCTGCCCTTTGCTTCCTGAACAACCCCCCCCACCCCTCTCTCTTCCTCCTTCTCTCTGTCTCTGTCTCTCTCTGTCTCTGTCTCTCTCCTCCCCCTTCTCTCTTCCTCCCTCTCTCTGTCTCTGTCTCTGTCTCTCTCTGTCTCTGTCTCTCTCTGTATCTCTGTCTCTGTCTCTCTCAGTCTCTCTCCTCCCCTTCTCTCTTCCTCCCTCTCTGTGTCTCTCTCTGTCTCTCTGTCTCCGTCTCTCTCTGTCTCTCTCCTCCCCCTTCTTTCTTCCTCCCTCTCCACTCCCTGCTCCCCACCACCCCTCTATCGTCTCTTGTCTCTTCTGTCTGTGACAGTTACTGATAGTCCTGGGCAAAGGGAAAGCGGCCCCCCACACGCCCTCCTGGCTATGCCCTGGCTCCTGTGTCCCAGCCCCTGGAAGGGCCACCCCCCCCCCCCCCCCGTCACCCCTGGATATGAATGGGCAGTTTGGAACACTCGCACACATTCATACAGTCACACCCACCCACAGCCAAACACGGACTCTGGAACAGGCCCTGTCCTGGGAACACACACCCTGCCCCGCACTACACACACACACACACACACACACACACACGCACACGCACATGCACCACACACACACACAGATGCATGACACACAGTCACAGACACACTTCATACAAACACAGATCCACACACAGGCACATTTCCCACGCAACCCCATGGACACACCCCACTTACCCCCCACACTCACACACCCCCTCAGCTCAAGAACACGCAGGGAACCGGGCTGATGCTGCAGTGTTAGTAGCTGGGCCAAGGCTATTCGTGGGGGGTTTGGGTGGGGGCCGCAGTGCCAGAGCGAGACCTAGGGTCAGCCTGAGGCAATTGCCCTCAGTCCCCCTCTGTCCCTATGCACTGGGCATGGGTTAGTTTTTTTTTGAGGGGGGTGGGCACACCCAGAAGTGCTCAGGACTGACTCCTGGTTCTGTACTCAGGGATCACTTCTTTTTTTTTTTTTGGTTTTTGGGTCACACCCGGCGGTGCTCAGGGGTTACCCCTGGCTTTGCACTCAGTATTTACTCCTGGCAGTGCTCAGAGGACCCTATGGGATGCTGGGAATCGAACCCGGGTCAGCCGCGTGTAAGGCAAACACCCTACCTGCTGTGCTATCCCTCCAGCCCCCTCAGGGATCACTTCTGATGGTGCTGGGGGCCCCTACAGGGTGCCGGAGTCACAGCTCCCTCCCAGCTATGCCATGGCTCAGGGTCCAGGGTTCTTTGGGGTAACTGGGTGGGGGTAGGGTTTGGCGGTGGGGAGCGCCCCGGGGTGCTCTGAGCCCTCGAACATTTTCTTGCTGCTTCCAGCTTGGAGACTGGGGCCTTCCCCGCGCCCAGAGCCAGTGTGACTGCGCAGGCGCCCCTGGAATGACTGGGACCTTCCGTGGCCACGTCGCCCCATCCTGCAGCACCCACCACCCACACCGGGACAGCCGGCTGGTGGCCCCCTCGGCACCTCCCCCCAAGGTACTGGGCCCTCCAGGTCGGGAGAACTTGGGGTCAGGACACGCTGGGCCCAACCTGGGGACCTCCAGGAGGTCCCAGATACCCCAGAGTAGACACCAGGAGAGTCACCCCGGCTCCTCCTGCTGCCCGGGGTCTCCAACCCACTGACCCCCACAACTGCTCTCTGGCCCTGCCCCCTGCCCTGCCCCATCATAGCCCCCTTACCCCCCCTTGGCCCCGCCCACTGCCCCCACACCCGCCATCCAGCCTTGCCCTCCGGGGTCCGGACCCCACACCCAGTCCAGGCCCTTCCCCACCTCTGCTTCATCCCCCATGTCCCACACGCAGCCAGCCCAGCCGTGCTCCCCAGTCCCCAGACCCGACCTATCACCACCCTCCACCGTATCCCCAGGTCACCACATCCCTCCTCCCACCCAGCATGTGGCACAAACCCGCTGTCCCCATGTCTCAGGGCCTGGCTCTGCAAGGGGCTGGAGCATCCTGGCTGGGGGCCCAGGACGGAAATCCCTGCAGGCTCAGGGCTCCATCCTCACAGAGCCCTGTGGAGTCACTTACCCAGCCCGCAGACTCATCATTGTGAGGCCTCCTGGGAGGAGGGTGCCCGCGACAGTAACAGTGGGGCCCCTTGGCTTCATGCTTTCCTGCTGGAGCCCCTGTGGCCTGAAGGCGCCGCCTCCAGCATCTCCGCCTGCACCCCGACCTCCTCCCGCTGCAGGTCACCGGGTGCACAGGTGCTTCCAACCCTATCCTTGAAGCCAATGCGCCCCCTTCTCCTCTGCCCCTCCCCCAGGACCCAGCCGCCTGACCCACGAACTGACCCGGCCACCCACTGCCACCGCAGCCCCTAGATGCCGCCCCCGCTGGCCCCAAAGGCCCCGGGCGCGAGTCCATGGAGCGACTCCGCAGGCAGCTTCGCCAGGAGGTCCCCGGCCCCCAGCCAGCAGCCCGGCTGGGACGGCGGGGCCAGGCCCTTCCCGGGCCACTTCTGTGAGCTCTGCAAGGTCAGCTGTGCCGGCCCGCAGGTCAGCGCCCACCAGGTCATGCTCGGGTGGGGGTCAGGGCTGGCATGAGTCCCCCATGCGCCTGCCCCTGCACTGGTCCCGGTGGTCTTTGGCAGACCGTTCTGGCATCGGAGCAGGAGCAAGAGCAAGTGACGTGGTGCTGACCGGGACCAGAGGGACTGGCCGGCCACATCCCCTGCTCACAGCCTCCCTGGGGGAGATGGGGGCCTCTGCCGCCCCGGGGGCTGGGGACTGGCCAGTGACACGTGTCTGTGACCTCCCAGGGGCCAGAGATGGGCCAGTGCACATGTCTGTGACCCACATGTACTGGGTATGTGTACTGGACGTGTGCTGGTGGGCATTTGCGTGCACATGTGTGTGTCTGCACACATACATGCCTTCACGTGGGTGTGTGCACCTTTGCGTGTGTCCCTGCATGGGAGCACTTTACACACCCCATGTTTGTGCATGTGTCTCTGCGTCTCGTGTGCCTGCTATGCATGTGGGTTGGTGCGTGCATGTCTGTGGTGTTTGCTGTGTGCCCAGGTACATCTGTGTACACACGTGTCTGGTGTTTCTGCCTCTGTGAGCACTGTGTGAACGCACACATACTCATGCGTGTAGGTCTGTGCATACATGTGTGTGCACACAACTGTAGGCATGTATTTCACGTATGTGCACACATACCAATGTGCATGTCATGTGAGCATATGTGTGCAGACACATGTATGCCCATGTGTGTGTGCATGGTGTTCCCATGTGTACTTTTGTGTGTATGCACATATTTGCAGGTGTGTGATGGTGTGTCCTGTGTGAGCACACATGTGTTTGGTGTGTCCTCTTGCATACATTTGTGTGTACCCATGTGTGCCTGTATGCCATGTGTATGCCCACTCTGCAGGTGTGTGTCCTATGTGTGTCGTGTGCTTCTGTGAGCAGATGTGTGTGTGTGTGTGTGTGTGTGTGTGTGTGTGTGTGTGTGTGTGGTTTGGGTGAAGGATTCTCAGCCCCACTTACAGAAAACCTCAGCATGAGTGATTCCCTGAGCAGAGCGAGGGTCACCTCGAAATAATAATGAGAAATGTGAACAGGAGACAGGGAGAGAGAAGGAGAGAGAGAGGGAGAAGGGTAGAGGGAGAGAGGGGGAAATTGGGAGAGACAGGGAGAGAGGAAGAGAGATGGGGAGAGAGGAGTGGAGGAAGGAGAGGAAGAGAGAGAGAGAGAGGGAGAAGAGAGAGGGGGAGAAAGGAGAAAGGGAGAGGACAGTGAGTGCATGAGCACACAGCCCTCCCGGGTTGCACATGGTCCCCAACACTGTTGCAAACAATCCCCGGCACAAACCATCGCCCTCCCCGCCCCCTACCCCAGCCAGACGTGTTGACTAGTGGGGACCATGGCTGTAAGGGCTGGGCCACGTACTTTAGTCCAAGTGCTGGAGGCCCGGGTTTATTCCCAGTCACATGGTCCCTGAGCATCACGGGAAGTGACCCACCAACCAGCCCAGCACCCAGCTGGCCGCATCCCCAGAGTCCCAGTGGTGTGACCAGCAGACGGAAGAAAAGATGGGGAGGAAGGGAGGAGGGAAGGGAGGAGGGCGGGATTGAGGCAGCCGGGATGTGTGAATGGTTCATCCCCCAGGGGACAAGGCCGAGCTCTGCCCTGCCCCGTGGCCCCCCCAGCAGCCGCCCGGAAGCGGGGAGACCGGGCCCCGCCCACCCCTGCTGTCTCCCGCAGACTTACCGGGAGCACTTGGAGGGGCAGAAGCACCGGCGGAAGGAGGCGGCCAGGCCGTGCGAGGGCGAGGGCGACCCCCAGGACCCCCTGCACTGCAGCCTCTGCTCAGTATCCTGCACTGGGCCGGCCGCGTACGCTGCTCACCTCCGAGGCGCCCGGCACCAAAAGGTGGGGCGCCCTGACCCGGAGCTCGCGGGGCACGCCCCCTCCCCCACCAGGAGTGTCCCCAGCGCTGCATGCACCCCCCAACAGGGCCAGGTGTGACCCCAGCACTCCATTGCTCTCCCCCCACCGTGACCCCACACTGCACACGCCCCTCCTCCCAACAGGGCCACGGGGGGCCCCGGGGCCCAGGACCACATCCTGGCATGGCTTCAGACCATCAGCCCCTCATTACCGAGTCAGGTAGCTCCTGGAGCCCCAAGCACTGCTGGGGGTACTCAAACTCCCCCTAAAAAGCGGAGGGACTGGAGCGATAGCACAGCCGGTAGGGCATTTGCCTTGCGTGCAGTCGACCCAGGTTCGATTCCCAGCATCCCATAGTTCAATTCCCAGCATCCTATAGGGTCCCCTGAGCACTGCAAGGAGTGATTCCTGAGTGCAGAGCCAGGAGGAACCCCTGAGCATCGCCTGGTGGGACCCAAAAAGAGAAAAAGAAAATAGCAAGGGGGGGTCCCTAGGACTGGGGGTAGTGTGGGATCGGACACAGCAGGGGGCACCTGGGGTGGCAGATACAACAGGGGGCTGGGGCTCCAGGGGGGTTGAACACTTCAGGGGGGTCCCAGGGGCACTGGGGGAAGGCCAGACAAAGTATGGGGGAGTCTGTGACTTTAAGCTCCAGTGACCAGTCACTCAGTATAACATGCTGTGATCGGGCCCAGCATCCGAGGAGTGTGGTGGGGGCTGCTCTGGGGGTCACCACCTTGCAACCCCCCCACCCTGTTCCCACCTGCACTCCCCATCTCCAAGGAAGTCCCAAGATGCCCAGACAGGGCGGGGGCCACCTCTGTTCCAGGTGCTCAGGCTGCACGGCAAACTGGGGAGACCCGTGCCCCCCACGGCCCCGGCCCTCCCCGCCGCGGCCCCTGCCAGTCCCGGAAGCCGCTCCCCGAGCCGGTCTCCGTCGCCCAAGAGGACGGTGGCCTCGAAAGTCATGCTTGTGGGTACGTTCATCTGCGCAGTGGGGGGGCTCTCGTGGAGAGCAATGCACAGAGCAATGGGGGCCCCTCCCTGCACCCCGTCTTCCCTGCTGGGGGCCAGCTGATGTCAAGCTACGGCACAGGGGAGAAATGGCTGGGTCTCAGGGTTCCCGGGTTCTAGTCTGGTTCACTGCCCCACCGCCCCTTTAGGACGATTTGGGGGCCTGGGACACGGCTCGGGGAGCAGAGACATGCCCCAAATCGCTGACACCAGCCTAGTTGGTGTCTGCCCAGATCAGCAGGTGGGAAATCTGAGGTGGCCGTTGGCGCATGGGGATCCAATCGGGGGACCCCCAGTAAGCAGCAGAGATGAGACTCGACCCTCCCTCCCAGCTCCGGAGCTTCAAACCATACCTTGCCCAGGCGGAAAAAGGGGGTCCAGCATTCCTGTGCCAGCTGCACCCCAGTCCTGGCTGGCCCGGTTCCAGCCTGGGGTCTCTCACTTCTGGGCACACAAGTAGCAGCTGGCACTGTGGGGTTCAGATCCCCTTGGTCCAGCAGCGGACACTTGCCTGTGTGGAGACACACCAGGGGTGCCTCCTTCAGGGCCCCCCGAGGCGCATCCGTGCAGCAGCAGACCCCCAGAGGCCAGAGGAGTGGGGCCCGGAGAATGGGCCCCCCACGGAGGCCCCACGGAAGCTTCTGGAAGCAGCTGTGACTCGCCCCCTGTGGGCCCCGAGTACGTGGAAGAGGTATGTGCTGACGTGCCCCACCCCAAGACAGATCCCGGGGAGCCAAGTGAAACGGGGCTTCCCATCACAGCGGAAGGAAGAGCCCCAGAAAGCCAGGGCATGCGGGAGCCATGGGACAGTCAGCGGAGAGGGCGCTGGCCTTGCACTTGGCTGACCAGGGTTGGTCCCCGGCAGCTCATAGGGTCACCCCTCCAGCCCAGCCATGAGTAATCCCTGAGCGCAGAGTGAAGTGTCAGCTGGATGTGGCCCAAATCCCACCCACCTACCCCCCCCCAAAAAAGGGCGTCACAGCCTGGGGCGTGGCTAGGGGTGAGAGGGGCTGGTCATGGGCGTGGCTTTGGTGGGGGTGGAGTTCGTGGGAGGGGCTAAATCAGGTGGGCGTGATGTTACGTGTGGGTGTGGTTGTTTGTGGGAGGAGCTATGTGTGGGCGGGGTCATGCAGGTAAGGCTCTGCGGCTGGTTTGTTGAGGGCTCGTGGGCGTGGCCTCTTGTGGGGGCGGGCTTTGATTGGGAGGGGCTCCGTGTGGGCGTGGCCTGCGGAAGTAACGAAACCCACCTTCCGCGCTGTTCCGCGTGTCCCAGGTGTGCAACGACGACGGCAAAGTGATCCGCTTCCACTGCAAGCTGTGTGTCTGCAGTTTCAACGACCGCAACGCCAGGGATATGCACGTGCGGGGCCGCCGCCATCGGCTGCAGTACAAGGTGCGCCCGGCAGGCCGGCCCCGGGTGCGGCTTCGTGGCGCGGCTGAGGGCGTGCGCGGGGGTCGCCGGGACTGCCAGACGCTTCGGGTCCGCGTCCTGTGGCATCACCCCGCGCCTGCCGCCGGCGGAGGACCCGGAGCGCGGCCGATACCTCGGACGGACGGGACACTTCTGTCCCTCCGTTCCCAGCACGAGCGAGCCCCGGGCGACGTTCAGCCGGACGCGCTCAGCAGAGGACGGGGTGCGCGCCCAGGGAATCGCTAGAACGCCCAGTGCGGGTGGTCCCGGGGATGTGCACGGGCTCCACCCTCCCTTTGCATCACACGGAGCGGCACGGCCTGGCGATGGCTCATCAGCGCGCGGCTGAACTGTTGCATTTCCTGCGGGCTCAGGGTCCGCGTAGGGCTGGGCAGGTTCCGTGCCTCTCTGATGGGATCGGGACCAGCACCAGCGCCCAGCCCAGACGTCTCCGCCATCAATGCTCACTGAGATTTGGGGAGCTCCCCTGGGTCCCCGGAGCAAGCTGGCCCTCTCATGGCCTCTCCCCGTCTGCAGAAAAAGGTGGACCCGGAGCTGCCGCTGGCGCTGAAGCCGAGCAGCCGCGCGCGGCGCCTCCTGGAGGAGAAGCTGAGGACGCAGCGGCAGCTCACCAAGCGGCGGCTGGAGGGCATGCGGCGCTGGTACAACGAGATGAGGTGCGGGGGACCACCAACCCCCCCCCCCAGCCCTCGCGTCGGCTGACCACCCACAACTTGGCCACCCTCCACCCGTCAGAGCAAACGCCAGGGCCTCCGAGTGGGCTGCAAAGCGCCCAGCACAGCGGCCATGCATGGGGGGGAAGGGCGTGGGGGGGCACGGGGTACGTACCCATGGGGTCTTGTGGGGTGCCTGAAAAGGACGGGCTCTGCGGGAATATTGTCTCTGGCATGCAAGAATACTGTCTCTGGCATGCACCTACGTGTGACTGACAGGCCAGTAGGTAGGCGTGTGTGGCACATAGGGCACATGCACATGTGTATTGTGTCATGAATGCATGTGTGTGGTCTGTACGAATGTCTGCATGTGTGTGGAGTGTGGAGCATGTGCAGAGCTTGTAGCAATGTGTGCCAAATGTTTCCCAAGTGTGCATGTGTGTAGCGTGTCGTGTGTGTGTGTGTGTGTGTGTGTGTGTGTATAGTCTGGAGCATGTGTACCTATGTGTGGAGCCTGCGTTGCTTGCATTAGGCACCTACTGACAGGTGAACATGACAGCCCTGTCCCCGCAGGCTCTACGATGCCTGCAAGAGGAGGATGGAGCAGCAGTCGCAGAGTCCGGATGAGCAGGTCTCCTGTCCCCTGCCCACCCGGCCCCTGCCCTTCGCAGGCAGCCTGGGGGAGTTGACCACCAAGGCCACAGCAGCCAGGGTGCGTCTATCTTGACCTCCCCCTTGACCTTCCTTTGTTAAAACGTCTTAATCCAAAGGTGCTCAGGGGGGGTTGGAGAGATAGCACAGCGGGTAGGGCGTTTGCCTTGCATGCGGCCGACCCAGGTTCGATTCCCAGCATCCCAGAGGGTCCCCCGAGCACTGCCAGGAGTGATTCCTGAGTGCAGAGCCAGGAGGAACCCTGTGCATCACCGGGTGTGACCCAAAAAGAAAAAAAAAAGTGTTCAGGGGCTGGACTGAGAGACCTCCTTCCCCTCCCCCTGCTCTTCACTAGCCCCCCCACTCCCCGGACCTGCAGATGGCGGGGCAGAGTGATGGAAGCCCAGGGTTGTCCACCCAGGGGTCCCAGGAGCTTCTGGCTCTAGGACCATGCCGCGGTTACCCCAGTTTTCCTTTTACCACTGGGAGACGGGTGCCCCATCTCTGCAGCTGTGCCCCGCCCGCCTCTTCCACAGCCCCCGAGGCGGCCCGAGTCCCACGATGACCGGCATGTGATGTGCAAGCACGCAGCCATCTATCCCACCGAGGCAGAGCTGCTGGCCGTGCAGCGGGCGGTAGCACATGCCGAGCGTGCGCTCAAGCTGGTGTCAGACGCACTCGCCCGGGAGCCCAAGGGCACCGACGGCAGGTAGAGGGGCTTGCGAGTGACTTGCTGGGGCTGCGCCAAAGCATGGAAGGGGGGCAGCGGAGCCATAGGACAGCGTGGAGGGTGCTGGCCTGGCACATGGCAGACCCAGGTTCCGTCCCTGGCATCCCATAGGGTTCCCAGAAGCCCATCAGGAGTGACTCCTGATCACAGAGCCAGGAGTAACCTCTGAGTACCTCTGCGTGTGACCAAAAAAATTTTTTAAAGTCAGGGGAGGGGGAAGTAGGTTGTCCTCATGTGGCCTCTTTGCAGATGGAGGACAACGGCCAGCTTCCCACGCTCAGAACTGCTGGTGTGACAACCCCCCTCCAGGGAAAAGCATAAATATACTTAAGGATATATAAATACAGACCAGGGGGGCTGGAGTGATAGCACAGCGGGTAGTGTGTTTGCCTTCCACCCGGTCAACCCAGGTTCGATTCTCAGCGTCCCATATGGTCCCCCAAGCACCACCAGGAGTAATTCCTGAGTGCAGAGCCAGGAGTGACCACTGTGCATCGCTGGGTGTGACCCAAAAAGCAAAAATAAATAAATAATACAGACCAGGAAGAGACTATAACAGGGAGGACACTTCCCTACCCGGATTCTACCCCAAGACCTGCCGGGAGAGATTCCTGGGCAGCTGGGTGTGCCCAGAAACCGAAAGGAAGATAAAGGGTCTGGAGGGGGCTTTATGGGACAGACCCAGGTTGATCCCCGGAACTCTGAGTGGTCCCCTGGAGCCTGCCAGGAGTGATCCCTGAGCACAGAGCCAGGTGTCAGCCCTAAGTGGACATGTGTTAACCAGAGCAGAAACTCCACCCCCATAAATCCCCCCAGGGAGCCCCTCCCTCTGTCTCTAGCTCTGATCTGGACACATGATGCTGGTGAGGTGTCCTGGGTGTTTGCAGGCTAAACAGCAGGCTCCTTTTGCCTTCCAGCTGTGTCCCCAAAAAGGGCGCATGCCCCGAGGCAGGGCCCTAAGTATGGGGACAAGGCCGGAGGATGGGGTTCCACTGCAGAGAGGTGCCCTTGCAGTGGGAGGTGCCGGGTTCCCAGCTCTGCACTGTGTGGTCCCCGAGCCCACCCACCACCACTGTGTGGTCCCCAGGAAGCACATTCACATACAGGAAGCACAGCACACTGAACCCCAAAGCAAACTTCTGCTCCAGCTTCTCCCCTGGACCTCACAGCCATCTGAAGGAGCAATTCTGTTCCTCCCTGCCAGGGGTCGTGGCCAGACAGGGTGCCCCCAGCCTGACTGTTGATGCTGGGCTCAGTTTTGTTATTTTGGGTGGGGAGGGGTCAGGGCTGACTCTTGACTCTATGTTCAGGGATCACTCCTAGCAGGGTGCAGGGGACCCCATGGAATGCTGGGGCTGGAACCTCGGTCTGCCACATATAAGGCAAGAGCCCTCCTGCTGTCCTGCCTGTCCAGCAGGACTCCAGCAGGCAGGAAACGTGCCTCTGTGTCATGGGTTCCCTCCGACTTGGCCTCACCGTGGTTTATTCTACAGTCGCTGCCTTAGCAGTGCTGGGTTGTTGGGCTTTGGGGGCGGGGGAGGGTTGTTTGTTTTTGATTTGTTGGCTACATCTGGCAGTGCTCAGGGCTGACTGCTGGCTCTGAGCTCAGGGATCACTTCTGACGGAGCTCGGGGAGACCCTATGGGATGCCAGGGATCAAATCCAGATCGGGGGGCTGGAGTAATAGCACAGCGGGTAGGGCGTTTGCCTTGCACCTGGCTGGCCGGGGTTCGATTCCCAGCATCCCATAGGGTCCCCTGAGCACTGCCAGGAGTAATTCCTGAGTGCAAAGCCAGGAGGAACCCCTGAGCACCACCAGGTGTGACCCTTTGGGGGTCACAAAAAACAAATCCAGATCGGCCAGCGCGCTCCTGGCTGTCCTGCTCCGACCTCACCATCACATCTTGAGTTAATGATTTATTTCGGTTGAGGTTGCACTCATCCACGCAGAAGCTGGATTCCACATCTCCTGCATGCAGCACCCCCTGCGCTGTCTGCTCATTCTCAAAACCACCGGCAGGGGTTTTAGGAGAATCTGTTCAAATAGCCTCACCGTTCCCACAACCCGGTGCTCAGCGCGGGGGTTTGCTTCTGTGTTGTCCGCCCTCCCTCCCCTGACGCTCTCTCCTTACCGCGCTGGTGATCATTTTAGTGGGGGGGGGGGGGGGCACCCGCACTGTTGGGGCCAGGCCTGGACACCCCTTGCAAAGCTGCGGGCATCTAGCTCGGGTTGAAGCATCAAGCACCGCACGTGGCGGTGGGCGGCTAGGGCGCAGCGGGGGGCCAAGGGAGTGGGATGGAGGGGTGGAGGGAGGCTTGGTCTGGACGTTTTCCACAAGAAGGAAGGGGAGAGGGCCCTTCGGGCACCTCCGTGGGAAAGCTGACGGAGTCGAGCCGCCACCCCCCCACCCCAACCCCAGCCTCGGTCTTACCCCCCCCCGCCCTGGAGCGCCCCCTGCCCAGCGCCCCCTCCTCCGCGACTTCCCACACGCCCGCCGCTTTGTCTCGGCAGCAGCCCGGAGACCTCGTCTCGGATCCTCAAAGGCGTGATGCGGGTGGGCCTGCTGGCCAAGGGCCTCCTCCTGCGGGGCGACCGCCAGGTGCAGCTGATCGTGCTGTGCTCGCAGAAGCCCACGCGCGCCTTGCTGCGGAGGGTGGCGCAGCAGCTGCCCCAGGAGCTGCCGGTGAGGACGAGGGGGCGGGGCAACAAGGGCGAGGGGTGGGGCTACAAGGGAAGCAGGCGTGTCTGCAAGGGAGCGGGGCAACAAGTAGACTGGGCGTGTCTGTGGAGGGCGGGGCGGCAGAGGCAGTGGGCGTGTCTTAGAGGGGCGGGGCAACAAGGGCGGTGGGCGGGGCGACAAAGACGGTGCTCCTGTCTGCGAGGGGAGGGGCGACTAGGACAGGAGGCGTGTCCGCATGGGACGGGGGGGGGGGGGGGAGGGTGGAGACAAGGGCAGTGGGCGTGTCTATGAGGGGCAGGAAAGTGGGCGGGGTAACAGAGGGGCCTTGGGCGGGCCAATGAGGGGCGTGTAGTCAGCATGTCAGGAGAGGGGCGGGGCAACAAAAGGCCGATTGACCAAAGGGTGGGCTCATGGGCACGGCACCTCAGCCTGGCGGGAGCATAGGACAGAAAGATGCAGATTGGGGGTGCCAGCTGGATGTCCCAGACTTTAGGCTGGGCTAAGCCCTCTAGGTGGTCACTTTCTGGACTCACCCGGGACTCAGGGGACAGGACAGAGGGTCTAGGGCAGCATCTGAACCTGTAGTCTGGCTTGGGGGACCCGTGCATCCTGTGGAGTGTGGCAGGATCACTGGGTGGCAGGGAGGGGCAGCCCCAGAGCAGAGCCCCATGAGGCTTGGGGTGCTTAGGCGTTCAAGGGATGGGCCGTGAGCCAGGGGTCTCATCTCCCCGGACCCCCGAGAACCAGGGGCTGGCAGGAGAGGCCACTGGGCCCCTCCCAGAAGAAGAGGGACCACCTAGGGGTATCTCCATGCAGCAGGATGGGGGCACCAGAGGGGCCTCCGCTCTGCCCGCAGCCCTCTCCCTTGGACCCCCCATTCCCCTGGGTATACACAGAGCGGCAGTCTCCTGCCAATCCTGTGCCCACTGACCCTGCGGGTGCCTATCTCATCGTAGGCCGTGACAGATGACAGGTACGAGGTGTCACCCGACCCTGAGACCGACATCGTGATCTCGTCGTGTGAGGAACCCAGGGTGCACGTGGTCGTGTCTGTCACGTCGCCCCTGATGCGGGAGGAGCCCAGCACCCACACAGGTATACGGCCAGGCCCCCTATCCGGGCATGCGAGGAGCCCGAGAAGCCAGTCAGAGTCTCCCGGCTCCAGCCCCCTCCCAGCACGGCCACTGGACCCGGACGTACCGTCTCCACACAGCTCCTAGAGGATTCTGGGACAGGTGGGGGGCTGCAGGGTGAGGTCAGAGGACCCTAGTGAAGTCTGGATGGATGGCACACACCACGGAATCTTCTAGAACAGCCCGCTCAGGTTTTCTTTTTTTTGTTTTTGTTTTGGGGCCCCACCCAGCAATGCTCAGGGGTTCCTCCTGGCTCTGCGCTCAGGGATCACTCCTGGTGAGGCTCAGGGACCCTATAGGGTGAGTGGGCAGGACATGCACGGCCTGCCCTCCCCGCTGTACGGTCCCTCCAGCCCCGGCCCCAGGCATTTATGTGTATGTGTGTCTGCGTCTGTGTGCTCAAGGTGTTCTTAAACCCCCTCCACAAATTTTATGCCACCAGAAAGGTGGTGCTTCTCTTCAAATTAATTCAGTTCTCAGTTTATAAAGAAGCACCTTGGGGCTGGAGAGACAGCACAGCGGGTAGGGCGTTTGCCTTGCACACCCCCGACTGGGGTTCAATTCCTAGCATCCCATATGGTCCCCTGAGCACCGCCAGGAGTAATTTCTGAGTGCAAAGCCAGGAGTAACCCCTATGCATCGCCGGGTGTGACCCAAAAGGAAAAAATAAATAAAAATAAAAAATAAAATAAAGACGCACCTTAAGGTGCAGGAGAGAGCACAGCGGGTAAGGGGCAGCCTGACACAAGCTGACCTGGGCTTGGTAGAAAGGAAGGTGGGGAGGGAGGAAGGAAAGAAGGGAGGGAGGGAGGGAGGGAAGGAAGGAAGGAAGGAAGGAAGGAAGGAAGGAAGGAAGGAAGGAGAGAAGGAAGGAAGGAAGGAGGGGATGAAGGAACAAGGGGAGGAAGGAAGGAAGGAAGGAAGGAAGGAAGGAAGGAAGGAAGGAAGGAGGGAAGGAGGGAAGGAAGGAAGGAAGGAGGAAGGGAAGGAAGGAGAGAAAGGAGGTGGGAAGGAAAGGAAGGAGAGAAGGAAGGAGGGAAGGAAAGGAGGGAGGGAAGGAAGGAAGGAAGGGAAGGAAAGAAGGAAGGAAGGTAGGAAGGAAGGAAGGAGGGAGGGAGGGAGGGAAGGAAGGAGGAAGGGAAGGAAGGAGAGAAAGGAGGTGGGAAGGAAAGGAAGGAGGGAAGGAAGGAGGAAGGGAAGGAAGGAGAGAAAGGAGGTGGGAATGAAAGGAAGGAGGGAAGGAAAGGAGGGAAGGAAGGAAGGAAGGAAGGGAAGGAAAGAAGGAGGGAGGGAGAGAAGGGAGGTGGGAAGGAAAGGAGGGAGGGAAGGAAGGAAGGAAGGAAGGGAAGGAAGGAGAGAAAGGTGGGAAGGAAAGGAAGGAGGGAAGGAAAGGAGGAAGGAAGGAAGGAAGGAGAGAAGGAAGGAAAGGAAGGAGGGAAGGAAGGAAGGAAGGGAAGGAGGGAAGGAAGGAGGAAGGGAAGGAAGGAGGAAGGGAAGGAAGGAGAGAAAAGAGGTGGGAAGGAAAGGAAGGAGAGAAGGAAAGGAAGGAAGGAAGGAAGGAAGGAAGGAAGGAAGGAGGAAGGAGGAAGGAAAGGAAGGAGGGAAGGAAAGGAGGGAGGGAGGGAAGGAAGGAAGGGAAGGGAAGGAAGGAAGGAAGGAAGGAAGGAAGGAGGGAAGGAGGGAGGGAGGGAGAGAAGGGAGGTGGGAAGGAAAGGGAGGAGAGAAGGAAAGGAGGGAAGGAAGGAAGGAAGGAAGGAGGAAAGGAAGGAGAGAAGGAAGGAGGGAAGGAAAGGGAGGTGGGAAGGAAAGGAGGGAGGGAAGGAAGGAAGGAAGGAGGGAGAGAAGGGAGGTGGGAAGGAAAGGAAGGAGAGAAGGAAGGAGGGAAGGAAAGGAGGGAGGGAAGGAAGGAAGGAAGGAAGGAAGGAAGGAAGGAAGGAAGGAAGGAAGGAGAGAAGGAAAGGAGGGAGGGAAGGAAGGAAGGGAAGGAAGGAAGGAAGGAAGGAAGGAAGGAAGGAGGGAAGGAAAGGAGGGAGGGAAGGAAGGAAGGAAGGAAGGAAGGAAGGAGAGAAGGAAAGGAGGGAGGGAAGGAAGGAAGGGAAGGAAGGAAGGAAGGAAGGAAGGAAGGAGGGAAGGAAAGGAGGGAAGGAAGGAAGGAAGGAAGGAAGGAAGGAAGGAAGGAAGGAGAGAAGGAAGGAGGGAAGGAAAGGAAGGAGGGAAGGAAGGAAGGAAGGAGGGAGGGAGGGAGGGAAGGAAGGAAGGAAGGAAGGAGAGGAAAGGAAGGAGGGAAGGAAGGAAGGAGAGAAGGAAGGAGGGAAGGAAAGGAGGGAGGGAAGGAAGGAAGGAAGGAGAGAAGGAAAGGAGGGAGGGAAGGAAGGAAGGAAGGGAAGGAAAGAAGGAAGGAAGGAGGGAAGGAAGGAGGGAGAGAAGGGAGGTGGGAAGGAAAGGGAGGTGGGAAGGAAAGGAGGGAGGGAAGGAAAGAAGGAAGGAAGGAAGGAAGGAGGAGGAAGGAAGGAAGGAAGGAAGGAAGGAAGGAAGGAGGGAGAGAAGGGAGGTGGGAAGGAAAGGGAGGTGGGAAGGAAAGGAGGGAGGGAAGGAAGAAGGAAGGAAGGAAGGAAGGAAGGAAGGAAGGAAGGAGAGAAGGAAGGAGGGAAGGAAGGAAGGATGGAGGAAGGGAAGGAAGGAAAGGAGGTGGGAAGGAAAGGAAGGAGGGAAGGAAAGGAAGGAAGGAAGGAAGGAAGGAAGGAGGGAAGGAAAGGAGGGAGGGAGGGAAGGAAGGAAGGAAGGAAGGAAGGAAGGAAGGAAGGAAGGAGGGAGAGAAGGGAGGTGGGAAGGAAAGGGAGGTGGGAAGGAAAGGAGGGAAGGAAGGAAGGAAGGAAGGAAGGAAGGATGGAGGAAGGGAAGGAAGGAAAGGAGGTGGGAAGGAAAGGAAGGAGGGAAGGAAAGGAAGGAAGGAAGGAAGGAAGGAAGGAAGGAAAGAAGGAAGGAAGGAGGGAAGGAGGGAGAGAAGGGAGGTGGGAAGGAAAGGGAGGTGGGAAGGAAAGGAGGGAAGGAAGGAAGGAAGGAAGGATGGAGGAAGGAAGGAAGGAAAGGAGGTGGGAAGGAAAGGAGGTGGGAAGGAAAGGAGGTGGGAAGGAAAGGAGGGAAGGAAGGAAGGAAGGAAGGAAGGAAGGAAGGAAGGAAGGAAGGAAGGAGGGAGGAAGGAAGGAAGGAAAGGAGGTGGGAAGGAAAGGAGGTGGGAAGGAAAGGAAGGAGGGAAGGAAAGGAAGGAAGGAAGGAAGGAAGGAAGGAAGGATGGAGGAAGGGAAGGAAGGAAAGGAGGTGGGAAGGAAAGGAAGGAGGGAAGGAAGGAAGGAAGGAAGGAAGGAAGGAAGGAAGGAAGGAAGGAAGGAAGGAAGGAAGGAAGACAGGGAGGGTTTCAGGGTGGGGGGCTCCAATCGGGGAAGAGCCAGGTGAATGAAGCTGGAGGGACTCTGAGTGGGGCCCCAGGGGGCAGCCCCTTGCACACAGCTGCGTTTTCCTTTGCCTTCTAGAAGGATCCGAGGCCCCTGGGCAGGAGCCGGACGTCCTGAGCCCCGAGCGGTGCCTGCAGTCCCTGGCCGCGCTGCGCCATGCCAAGTGGTTCCAGGTGAGGGGCCGGGCGGCGGGTGGGCTCAGTGAGGGGCGCGGGCGCGTGGCCGCCACTCTGCAGCTACGCGGAGGGGTCCTGAGCCGGCGCCCACACCCGGCCCCCCTCCCCGACGGTGCGTTTCCCGCCCCAGGCGCGAGCCAGCAGCCTGCAGCCCTGCGTCATCGTCATCCGGCTCCTCCGAGACCTGTGCCAGCGCGTGCCCACCTGGGGGGCCCTGCCTGACTGGGTGAGGCGGCCCGGGTGGCCAGCGAGCCCCCAAACCTCTCTGCAAGCCCTCCCAATTCCCTCCTCCCGGATCCAGCGGACCGCCTCCCGGAAGGGGGTGCAGCCCGCTAGAGACCCCACCCAACCTCGTTTGCCTGCCCGCCCTTATCTGAACCACAAGACCTTGCACACCAGCAAGGCCTTATGCAAATTCGGGGCGCCAGGGAAAAACTGCGGGGCGGCCCCTCCCTGCCCGGACACCCTGGGGCCCTCCTGCGGGAAGAGGTGCGAGAATCCAGCCGCCCCCCCCACGCCCCACGTTCCAGCCTCCAAGGGTGGCGCCAGGTCCGCACTCTGAGGACCTCCACTTCCACCCCCACGGGGTCCCCTGGCACCCCCTTTCTGTGGATCCCGGCCCGTCCATGACGCTGAAGCTGTTCCTTCCGGTCCACACGCCCCCCAACCCAATGCTCCCGTGCCCTTGCCAGCTGCAGAGAATCCTAAAATTTGCGGGTCCCTTGGAGCCTCTGCCGCTCGTCCCTGACCACCCCCCAGGCTCAAACTGGGTCCAGGGCAGTGTGGGCTCTGGACGGGGCGCCCCTGATCCTGGCCAGCACAGATGGACCAGCTTCAGGTCCACCGCCAGGCAAAAGACCCGCATTCCCTTAAGCTGTTTCCCTGGAAACGGAGGCGGCGACACCCCCCCCCCCCACCCCGGGCTCCTGAAAACCCACGCGGTTTCACAAACCACCCCGGTGACTGGTGGAGAAACTGAGGCAGGGGAGTCCAGAAGCCTCAAGGGTCAGGCCAGAATGCAGCACACACGGTCGAGCAAGGGAAGTGGGGGCGGTCGGGGGGGCGGGGGCGCCCTGCCTCAGCGGACCCCCAAAGCTGCCCCTTGCCCTGCGCCAGGCCCTGGAGCTGCTGGTCGAGAAGGCCCTGAGCAGCGCCGCGGGGCCGCTGAGCCCGGGGGACGCGGTGCGGCGGGTCCTGGAGTGCGTGGCCTCGGGGACACTCCTGAGAGGTCAGTCCCGCCCCCCACCCCCCACGGGGTCCACCTCTGCACCACTGAGCACGGTGCACGGCAGGGTGCCCCAGCTTCAGACACCCGGAGAGCCGGAGAGCCGCAGGGAGGGTGGGGGCCTGGCTGATGGACCCCTCACCGGGGACGTGTCCGGAGGCGGGTGCGGGGAGGGGCGCGGCCCAGCGGTGCCTCCCGCGTGGCCCCGGCCCCCGCCTCCACTGGCTTTGAGGGAGTTGCGCAAGGGCCCACGAGAGGAGGAGGCGGTGGGTCACGTCCAAAGGGCAGTGCCGGAAGGGGAGGTCCCAGGCTGCGGGGTGGAGGGGGGGGCGGGAGGGGATGTCTCCACGTCACCTGCATGCTGACGCACGACGCTATGGCAGACACGTGCACGCGTGCAGGCGCCAACACGCGGATCCATGTGCCTGCACGCGGGGACAGGCGCGAGTACGCAGAACAGGCGCGCGCATCTGTGCCTACGTGTGCGGATACATGCACGAGCGCTCTGGGACACGCGCGCACACGTGCACCTGCGCGCAGGGCGGGGGCATAGACGGGGCGAGGGCGCGCCAGGGGAGGCGCGAGGAACCCTCATCCCACGTGCGCTCTCCTTGTGGGCGCCCCCCCCAAGACGGGCCGGGCCTGCAGGACCCCTGCGAGAAGGAGCAGATGGACGCCCTGGGCTCCATGAGCCTGCAGGAGCGGGAAGACGTCACGTCCAGCGCCCAGGTAGGCGCTTCCCCCTTCTCGACCCCCAAGGCCTCCCCCATCCCAGGGCCACACCCAAGAGGGGGGGTCCCGCGGCCTAGGATGGGCTCTGGGTGCCCGGGGGCGGGGGGGGAGAGTGGGAAGCTCGGTTCTCAGGGGTCCCTGGGGCCTCCGCGTGTATGGACCTTTGTGGGAGGAGTGGGAAGTGCTCCCTGGATCAGAACCAGGGGACAGGACGTGGGGGGACCCCTGGGGCGGGCAGGGGGCCTGGCGGGCCCCTGACGCTCTGCCCCGCAGCACGCCCTCCGGATGCTGGCCTTCCGGCAGATCCACAAGATCCTGGACATGGACCCGCTGCCGCCCCCCAGGAGCAGGCTTGGGGCGCGCTTCCGAAAGCGGCTGCGGGAGGCGGCCGAGGGCGAGGCCCAGCGGCAGCAGCAGCAGCCTCGCGAGGGCGCCCAGGGGTGCCCGTGAGCGGTCCCACGGGGCTGGGGGGAACCCTCCCACCGGCGGAACTGACCGGAAGTCGCACGCAGCAAGGCGGCAACGCTCCCTTCCTCCTTCGCTTTAGGCCCTGAGCAGAGTCGAAGCATCCTCCCCCACCCCTAACCGCCGGCCCGTCCCCCGTGCTGGCCCCCTCCCCATCTGGATACTGGGGTCCTTGTTCGGGGGAAAACGGGCAGGCGGCGCGCAGGCCGGGAGGAGCAGGGCCCAGGGGTGCCCCCCGGGCCCCCAAACCCAGCTACTGCAAACCTCACGCAGCCTCTCCAGATTGGCGGACTGGCCCGGGCACGGGTCCCAGCGCAGACCCTGGGTGTGGGGAACGTCATCTGTCACCCCCTTCCCAGTGACCCCCCCAGCCCCAAACCACTGAGTGCCTTCCACAGTTCGGGAGGGAGATGCTCCCCCCTCCTGTTCACGGGGGTGGGGACTGGGGGTGCCACCTCCCCCAATCCTCACTGACCCAGGCCAGCCTCTGGGCACGGAGTTCCCAGGGCTGTGCCTGGTGCCAGGCACTGGTGGACCTGGGTGGGGGGACCCCGGCCACCCTTCCCCCACCTTACTCATTTTCTTGGCCAACTGCCCCAAGGTTTGGAAGGAGAGGCCAAGCCAGCGCCCGTGTCATAGCTGTGTGGGCCCCAGGCAGGGAATAAAGTGCTACTCATCTGCTGTGTACCTGTGCTCCTTCCCCCCCACCCCCAGGCCAGCTCCACTTTGGGGTCCTGCCTCTGCCCACGTACACACCCCTGGCTCACATGTGCAGACCCCTGTGAGGGAACCCACCCTGGCCTGGCCCAAGAGACAGGCAACGGGAGCAACAGAGCCAAGAGACAGGCAACGGGAGCAACAGAGACTTTCAATGGGAAGGTGAAGGCCTGGAAGGCTTCCTGGAGAAGAGGGCAACTAAGCAAGAGTTGGGGGAGAAACTCTTGGACTGCAAGGCTCCCACCATCCTCTGGTGGTGGTGGCGGGGGGCGGGGGGAGCGGGGGGGAGCTACAAGCAAAGCTCAGAGCTATTCCAGGCACCACTGGGGGGGAGGGGGCAGAGAGGAGCCCAGAATAGTAGGTGCCCATGGACACCCAGCAAGGGCACTGCATGCCTGCCGGACACACAGGCAGGACCCCCCTTCTCAGAGCCAGGCCGGGCTGCTGCTTTATTTAGGAGTGGGCACACCTGGCTGTGCTCAGGTCTGACTCCTGGCTCTGCACTCAGGAATTACTCCTGGCGGTGCTTGGGAGACCATATGGGATGCCGGGGATCGAACCCGGGTCTGCCGCGTGCAAGGTAAATGCCCTACCCGCTGTACTATCGCTCCAGCCCCCTCAGATCACTTCTGTGAGGGTCAGAGAGTCAGGACGGTGGCTGGGGCGCATGTGAACGGCCCAGTTTTATCCCTGGTACCACAGGGCCCCCAGGCTCTGCAGGGGGCTCTCCACACCAAATGAGAGACCTGGACAACCCCCTGCACCCCAGGGCCCTGAAGTGGGCCAGTGGCCAAGAATTGCTAGGAGGGGTCCCCAGGGCCGCCGAGAATTGCTTCAAAGCCCCCACCCCCTGCAATGAAAATTAAAAAAACACCAAAAACAAAAAGTTTTAAAGGGCTGGAGCGATAGTACAGCAGGTAGGGCATTTACTTTGCAAGCAGTCGACCCGGTATCTATCTCCAGCATCCCATAGGGTCCCCTGAGCACTGCCAGGAGTGATTCCTGAGTGCAGAGCCAGGAGGAACCCCTGTGCATCGCCGGGTGTGACACAAAAACCAAGAAAAAAAAACAAAAAATGGGACCGGAGCAATAGTCCAGCAGGGAGGGCACTGGCCTTGCACGCAGTCAAACCAGGTTCCATCCCCGACATCCCATCGGGTCCTCTGAGCACTGCCAGGGGAGTGATCCCTGAGCACAGAGCAAGGAGTCAGCCAAACAAAACCAAGCTGCACTAGCCGCACACCAGCTTCGCATCCAGCCCTGCCCGTTGCCCCAGCCTCCCTTCCCCATTTTCACCCGTTTAACACCCACCCTGGATTCCCACTCAGCCCCTGGGCCAGCAGCGCCCTGGGGAAGGGGAGCGGGTGGGCGCCCTGGGGCCATATGCGCGCAGCAGGCACGTGCCCCTGCTGTGGGCTGAGCCACCAGCTGCTGCGCATCGGCGGGGGTGCGGCGAGCTCTGCTGCCAGCCTGACACGGGAACAGATCGGCCCGGGGTGTCGCCTCCCCCGACTCCAGGGAACGAGGGGCCGGTGAGCGTCGCCCACCCAGCAGGGCTGTGAGGAGGGCTCGGTCATGAAAGGCACCGTTGGGGACCGGGGCCGGAGCACGGGGCTCCCGGGAAGACCCCCCGGAGCCCTGACTGGGTGAGGAACCCCCAAGACAGAGTCAGGAGCAGCTGGTAAAAAAAAAAGAGCAATGATCAGACCCCCCGGGGGGCTCCTATGGATGTCAGGGATCGAACCCTGGTCAACTGCGTGCAAGGCAAGTGCCCTCCCCGCTGTACTATCTCTCCAGCCCTGACGTCGCAAATGCTGTAGTCTAGGGACAGGGATGGGACAGACTCAGGGCTAGGTCTGAGTCTGTTCTCTACCTTCCTCTCCCCCAACTTTTCACTCCTGTCTCTGTTCACTTCACTTGTCCTTGGAAGTCCCAGCCCACATCTGGCGAAGAGAGAAAAGCAGAGTGAGGAGCTTGAGTCACACAGGGCGGGGGGTGGGGGTGGTCCAGCCAGGTCCAGTTGTCCCCACAAAAATAAGAAGCCTGGGACTGGAGCGATAGTACAGCGGGTAGGGCATTTGCCTTGCACGCGGCTGACCCGGGTTCGATTCCCAGCATCCCATATGGTCCCCCGAGCACTGCCGGGAGTAATTCCTGAGCATCGCTGGGTGTGGCCCCCAAATAAAAACAAAGAAAAGACACAAAAATTGGGGCTGGAGCAATAGTGCAGTGGGTAGGGCGTTTGCCTTGCACACAGCTAACCCAGGTTCGAATCCCAGCATCCCATATGGTCCCCCGAGCACCTCCAGGAGTAATTTTGAGTGCAGAGCCAGGAGTAACCCCTGAGCATCGCCGGGTGTGACCCAAAAAGCAAAAAAAAAAAAAAAAGACACAGAAAGACACAGGGTGAAGGCCCTGATGGTCAGCGAGACTGGAGAGAGGACGGCAGTGGAGAGAGACACACGCCATCTTCTGTGCCCGGTCACCTCCTCCCCATCAGCGGCCGGCTGGAGCATTCGGACACATGCCTGGCACGTGGGCTCAGCACCAGCGGGCAGTGAGGCCAGCAACGCAAGCCAGCATCTTTCCTCGAAAGAGCAGCATGTTCCCCGCGGGCACCCTGGCTGATGGCTCTCAGGAAGGAGCTAAATTTAAAGGTTACACTAATTGCTAATTGGGACAGGTGATAGGATGGCCCCAGGCGGCCACTTTCAGCGAGGATCTGCACAGCAGAAGGCCTGCACGCTCAGCCGTGCCCACCTGCCAGGCCCTGCTCCCATTTGCCTCCCCCACGCCCAAACCCTGGGCACATTCTCTCCCCGGATACCCCACAGGGCGTGCGCGGGCACAAGGACTGCAGAGACCTGGTCATGCCCAGCGCCACCACCCCCTCCTGTGACCAGGGCAAGCCTCCAGCCTCTGTCTTCTCATCTGTGCAAGGGAACAACAGGTCCTAGGTACTATTTATGAACAACCCACATCCCCGACAGCCCAGTGGTAAGATGAGCCCTGAGCACCTGCTCTGTGCTAGGAGCAGAGGCCAAAGCAGTGAGCAGATTCGCCCCTAGCCCCTTGGGGAGCTGGTCTAAAAAGGATGCAGTTAAGGAAGACTAGATAAACAAGAAAAATACTCCATCAGGGGCTGGAGAGATAGCACAGCGGGTAGGGCGTTTGCCTTGCACACGGCCGACCCGGGTTCGATTCCCAGCATCCCATATGGTCCCCTGAACACCGCCAGGAGTAACCCCTGTGCATCGCCAGGTGTGACCCAAATATATATTCCATCAGACGGTATATGGATTGCAGACGCACACACACACGTGCACATGCACCCCCACATGTGCACACGTACTCCCCCACGCACACACTGGCACGGACACTTGTACTGCACACACACACACACTTGCACACACAGGCACACACAAGGGCTCACACACTCACGCGCACACACGCATGCACACGCACAAAGCCATGTGCACACACAGGCGCACACACACTCGCATGCACACCCACGCACACGCACACACTGTGCAGAGCGGAAGTGAAAAGCAGGGTCCAGCATAGTCTGGGTGGTTGTGGATTCTTGGACGCTTCTGGGAATACAAAGAGAAGACCAGTAATCCCACCGGCTTCTTTGCCCCTACAAAGACTACATTTCCCAGCTTCCCCTGCGACACGGCTTGGCCACGTGGCTACCTCCACCCAACAGGGTGAAAGAATCCTTAAAGGGAAGAGACGCCCTCTTCGGGACCCACTTCCTGCTACTGATTGACTGGAATGCAGGTGGGACGGCTGGAGCTCAAGCAGCCACTTTGGATGAAGAGGTGCAAGTTCCAGTGCTGTGAAAGGCCGAACAGTGAGATGGCAGACGCCTCAGACCACGATACTGCCTCCCTCAGAAGGGATCATTTCTAATTCAGACCTCTAGTATGTAGGAACTTAAATCCTGTGCAACCCAATCCTAACTGATGCATCCAATAAAGTGCACATCTCTCTCTCCCCTCTCTCTCTCTCTCTGTCTCTCTTACACACACACACACACACACACACACACATACACATCCCCCCTTGGTTTGTTGCTTGCAATGATGCAATGATCTCCATTCCTATTAGGAAAAAGAGAATAAGAGTTGTGCCCTGTCTCAAAGAAGATTCGAACCTACCAGAGAAGACCACAGACTTCTGGGCTGAGTCCGTTCTGGAACGCTGGCAAAAGACTTTGCCTCCATTTCTTAACCCTTGTGGCTGGAGTCACAACTCTGGGCTTTTGGAAAGAGACACCCAGAAGACCCTGCTTCCCGCTGGGCTTCGGGTGATCGGGCTTGCAGTTCCACACATCGAGTTTGGTCATTTTCCTACCCCAATTTTGGCCCCCACAACCACTGTTAGGGCGTCTTCAAGTCGCAAGGACAGAAGCCATCCTGAGGAGATGAAGCACAAAGGTAAGCCAAGCACAGGTGACGCGGGACAGAACAATATGTACAGTACATTTGCCTCACGTGGCTGACGTGGGTTCGATCTGCAGCACCCCATAGGACCCCAACCCACAGGAGTGATCCCTGAACTCAAACCCCTGCCCACACCTGGGAGTGCCCCCCATCTTCCAGAGAGAGGGACCTGGGGAGTCCAGGCAGCTGGCACAGGTGTGTCCAGGAGCCTTCGCCAGTCCAAGCCACGCTTTTGGTTCTTCTAAAAGTCTTCATCTGGGGCCAGAGCAATAGTCCAGTGAGGAAGGTACTTGCCTTGCAACCCAGGTTTGATCCCGACGCCCCACAGGTTCCTCTGAGCACCATCAGGAGTGATTTCTGAGTGCAGAGACAGGACTATGCCCCAAGCATCTCCAGGAGTGACTCAAAAAGCAAAAAAAAAAAAAAAAAAAACCCACCTTCCTCCTTCTGGAGGACTTTGCAGAGGATGAAACCCAGGAATCAGGGGGCTGGAAGTGCATGTATTACTCAGAAACTAAGAATTGTAGTTTTAAAGAGTGAGGAAGTGGACTTCATGCCCAATTCAATCAGCCTAATCAATGGCTGATAAATAGCAATACTCCTACATTAAAATAAGAAAATAAATAAAGAGTGAGGAAGCTGGGAAGAGATAGCACAGTGGGGAGGGCACTTGTCTTCTCCACTTGTATGCGTCTGATGCAGGTTTGATCCCCGGCAGCCCATAGGGTCCCCCCAAGCCCCTCCAGGGCTGATTCCTGATCACAGAACTAGGAGTAAGCCTTGAGCACCGCTGGCACAGCTGGAGCACTGAAAACAAAGAAAGAAGGGAAGGAAGGAAGGAAGGAAGGAAGGAAGGAAGGAAGGAAGGAAGGGAGGGAGGGAGGGAGGGAGGGAGGGAGGGAAAAGGGGAGACGAGAGAGAGGAGATGAGAGAGGAAGTTGAACCCTTTGAATTTCTTCCTATCTAGCTGCACAAAGTCTCCCTGATCTGTTAAACTCCCTGAAACGTGTGGAGGTACAGGGGTGCTCTCGTATGCTCGCGTGCAGCCCCCCTCACCCAGGTGCCTGGCGCCAAGAGAGTGAACACACTGACAGATCTCCTCTGGCCATCTTCATCCCAGGCTGTTTCTCTGGGCAGGTCATGGCTGTCGGTCATATTAAGGGACCCCAACCTCCTTGGTCCCTGTGTGTGTGCGGGGGTGGGGGGGGATGCTGACAGTTGGCTGGCGGAGGGGCCCCTGCGTTGCAGGAATCCTTCTTGTGGTTCGGTGGTAGCAGTACTAGCCTTGCCCACATGAAGCCTTGGGTTTGATCCACAGCAACACACACACTTGATCTCATTTTTATTTATGTATTTGTTTGGGGGGCTACACTCAGCAGTGCTCGGGGGTTACGCCAGCTCTGCTCTCAGCCAGCACTCCTCGTGGTGCTCGGGGGACCTATGGGGTGCCGAACCCCGTCAGCTGCTTGCAAAGCAAATGCTCTCCTGGATGGACCATCTCTCCAGAGGGTTTTCACCCTTGCTGGCCCCGCCCCCGCACGCTGTCCCTGATCTGATGCCAAGCCCAGAGGTGCAGCCACCAAACCACCCTGTCCAGGGACGGATCAGAGAGCGGGGAAGGGACAGCACCATCCTCTGGACAGGGCCTGAGCCATAATACAGCGGGGAGGGCGCTTGCCTTGCACGCTGGCGACCCCACAGGGTCCCCCAAGCACCGTCAGGAATGATTCCTGAGTGCAGAGCCAGGAGTAGCCCCTGAGCACTTCCAGGTGTGACCCAAAAAGCCAAGAAGAGAAAAAAAAATAGTGGGTGGGCGTGGGAGGGGGGTCCTCCACACAGCATGTCCGGCCAGCCGGCACTCACCGGGCGGAGTGGGGGGTGGGGGAGCTAGCAGGTCCACCTGGGCTCTTTCTTCGTCGCCCCCATTTTCTCTCACTGCTGACTCTGAGAGCGGTTGGCGTGGCCGCGTGCTGGCTTTGCAGCCAGCGCTGAGGGGTCCTCTGGAGCGCCAAGTCCTGCCAGGCGCGTCGCCGTCCGCCCACCGAGGCCCCTGCAATCACAGCCCGCTCTGAGACTTGCTTACCCCCACGGCCGGGCAGCTCCGTCCTTCCTCTGCTCCCGGCACGGGATGGGGGAGACGCTGCGGGGAGCTGGGGTACAGGGCCTCCCCCCGCCCCTCGTCCGCTCCCGGAACCGGGGTGCCGGGCGGCGCGGGAGGCGCGCGGGGGAGCGCGGGGGTGCGGCGGGGAGGGGCGGGCGGCGGCGCGCGCCCCGCAGACCGCAGTGCGGCGGGCGCTAGGACCCGCGGGGGCCTCCCGGGCCGCCCAGCCTGCAGCTCCCCCCACCCAGCCCTCCACCCCAACCCCCCAAAATGAGGAAACGGAGCAACTTGCTCCAAGTTGTACCTCCGGGGCCGCCTCGGGGTGCGCAGCCGGCGCGCGGGAGCCCTGCTCGGGGCGGGCGCGGGGCGCGGCCCGGGGGCGCCCCCTAAGCAGGTGAGCTCGGCTCTGGTGGGGGTTGGGGAAGAGACGGGGTGGGGGAGGGATCTGGGGGGAGGGCAACCCCAAGGACCCCCTGGACTGGGCTCGGGAGGGGGCGGCGGCGGGGGCGCGCGGGTGCAGGTGCACGGCCCGGGCCAGGGGGGCTGGGAGGTGATCGGCAGCGGGGTGGAGCGTGGGGTCTTTTTCTGGGTGCGGTGAGCGCGTCTGCAGCCCCCCACCCGCTCCGTGCGCATCGCGCGTCCACGTGGAGGCGAGTGAGGCAGACATGCGCGTGCCCGGCTTGGCGGGGTGGCGCGGAATGGGGTGGGGGGAGCGGAGCGCAGGTGTCCCGGAGTGTGTGTTGGGGGGGGGGGTCCCAGGTGCGCGGTTTCCCAGGGTCCAGCCCCGTGCGTGTGCGCCCCTGTGTCTAGGTGGCCGTGCTGTGCGCGCCTGGGGCCACCCGCGCCCGCGCCCCGTGTGTTTTCTGTGTGTGATCGTGTGTACATGGAGCGGTATGTGTGTGAGTACACGTGGGGGTGGAGGAGGGCCGGAGACTCACCCCCCCCCCCCGCCTCCCCCCAGGCCACCCGTCCTGAGGCCCACGGGAAGCCCCCTCCATCCTTACCTGCCGCCCTGCCAGGGTCTCTATGCCAAGTGGGGGATCCGAGGCCCGGGTGCCCCGGCCGGGCTGCCCCACCCCAGGGTCAGAGATCCCAGGGGTGACCTTGAATCATCCCGCCCGGCCCTGCCCCTGCCCTCTTCCCAGGAAAGAGGAAGAAGTCGAATGGGCAGCGCCCAAGTCCCCACCCACCGTACCAACCGCTGGGCCCTGAGCCCAGCCCTCACACTCTGGCCACTTGCTGAGTGCCTCCGAGTGCCTCAGTTTCCTTAGAGGGACCATGGCCGGGCGAGGGGCCTTGAAGGCACTTGGCACGGATGCTGCACAGAGGGTAAAGACCACCCCCACCTGGGGACTCAGCCCCACCCCCCCGCAAGAGCCGAAGTGACCACCCCCTCCCCTGACTGAGCCTGCCCCCCCCGCAGGTGAGCCCCCGTTTCCTCCGTGACTGGCACCCTCCGCCCATCACAGCCAGGATGCCCACGGTGAGTACCCAGAGTGGGAGGCTGCCCCCCTTGTTGGGCTTCCCCACCCCGGGGGGAGGCGGTACTGTGGCCCCCCGCGGCCCCTTCCGTGTGCGTAGCCCGGCATTGTCCTGCGCTGGTGTCCATCCTGTGTTCACTTGCCCTCTCTCACGCGTCCCTCTGTCCCTCTGTGTCTGTGTGTCTCTGTCCGGGGCCTGCTCCTGCCCGCCCCGTCCGTCCCGTTAGCGGCGCTGGGCGCCGGGCACCCAGTGCATCACCAAATGTGAGCACACGCGGCCGAAGCCTGGGGAACTGGCCTTCCGCAAGGGGGACGTGGTCACCATCCTGGAGGCCTGCGAGGTGCGTGGGGAACCCTGGGGACGAGTGAGAGTCCCCTCCGGGGGGGTTGGGGGCCCCCCTCCCCCGCACCTCCTCCGTCACCTCCCCCACCAGCCTACCCCCGACTCCCATCGACAGAGCAAGAGCTGGTACCGCGCCAAGCACCATGAGAGCGGCCAGGAGGGGTTGCTGGCGGCCGGGGCGCTGCGGGAGCGCGAGGCCCTCTCGGCCGACCCGAAGCTCAGCCTCATGCCGTGAGTGGGGGCGGGTGGGGTCTAGTGGGGGAGGGCCCCCCATGCCCCCGACCCGGCCCGACCCAGCCCGACCCAGCCCGCCCCGCTCCGCTGCTGCAGCTGGTTCCACGGGAAGATCTCGGGCCAGGAGGCCGTGCAGCTGCTGCAGCCCCCCGAGGACGGGCTGTTCCTGGTGCGCGAGTCGGCGCGGCACCCCGGCGACTACGTGCTGTGCGTCAGCTTCAGCCGCGACGTCATCCACTACCGCGTGCTGTGCCGCGACGGCCACCTGACCATCGACGAGACCGTCACCTTCAGTAACCTCATGGATATGGTGGAGGTGCGCGGGGGGGGGGGGGGGGCGGGGCGGGGGCGGGGGGACCCCAGCCCCGCACCCCCATGTCCTGTTCCAGCCTCATGGACATTGATTGCACAGGTGCCCCGGGAGGGGGGAACCCCAGCCCTGTGTTCCCATCCCCCGCTTCCGCCTCATGGACCGCAGCCCCCCCACACCACACCCCCATCCCCGGCTTCGGCCTCATTGACATGGTAGAGGTGCTGGGGGGGAACCCCAGCCCCGCAACCCCATCCCCCACTCCGTTCTCGTGGACACAGGGGGGTGCGGCGGGACAGGGGACCCGAGCGTCACACCTCCCCTGCCTCCAACTCCCCTGCACCTGATCCTTCTAAGTCTCAGTTGCGGATGGACTTGGGGGGCTGTAGAGCCCCCTCCCCCAGTGCGGTTCTAGTGGTGGCCCCCCCAAAGGTGCCCCCGGGGTGCAGGAGAGTGGCGGCGGTGTGAGTTCTCCACGTTCCACCTCCAGAAATGGGGGTGACTCCTCTAGGGATCCCCAGGAACCTCCACATTGACGCAGATCCAGACATCACCCCCGCCCCCCTCCGTCTTGCCGGCTCCATGCCTTCATCCTCTCCGGTCTCCATGGAAACCAGCCTGGTGCTTCCTGGGCTTGGAGCCTTCTCCCACTGGCCCCCGCCCCCACACCCCCTCCAGACCCCCCCAAGGGCAGAGCACCCCAGGAGGGAGCTGCCGGTCACCTGCGCCCCCACCCTGCCCACAGCATTACAGCCGAGACCAGGGCGCCATCTGCACCAAGCTTGCGAAACCCAAGAGGATGCAGGGGACCAGGTCGGCCGAGGAGGAACTGGCCAAGGGTACGACACGCTGCCGGCCCACCCGGGACCCTGCACCCCCAGCCTGGCATGAACCAGGGCCAGTCACCCCACCACCTCCCTGACCCACAGACCCCCATCCTGAGTGGGCCCAGCCTGCTGTCCCTCTCTTCCTCCCAGGTCCCCTAGAGCCAATAACCTGGATCTGCTTGTTTGGATTTTGGGGTTTGGGGGCCATACCTGGCAATGCCCAGGGGTTACTTCTGGCCCCGCGCTCCTGGTGATCCCTGCTGCTGGGGGTATCAGATGTGTTGCTGGGAATCTAACCCAGCACGCAAACACCCTTCCTGCTGTCCAGCCCGGGCCTGCTTGAATCTGGCCAGGCCCCTCCTGCCCCCTGGCTCCAAGCCCAGGCTCTGGACACATCCTGCCCCAGCCTCCCATCCCGCTCACCTCCTCCTCCCTGGACCAGAGCCCCCCCTTCCTCTGTGGCCCCCTGAGTGGAGAATCCCATTTCCTCTCTTGCCTCGGGGCCATCCTTCCTTCTGTTCCTGTCCCCTGAAATGCTTTTCCTGCCCCCAGCACTGAGGCCCGGAGCAAAGGTGCCTTCCCATGGCCACCCCTTTTGAGCCTATCTCCAGGGGAGAACGGTTAGGAGTGAGGAGGGCAGGAATCACTGGGCTCCATGGTACCCCAGGGGTAACCCCACTCAGAGGGGTTCGAGGAGGGAGAAGAAGAAGCCCACTGTAGCCTCTAGAGGAGAGAGGAGGGGAGAACACAGGGGGTGGGAGGGTAGTGGAGCGGTGCTTGATTCCAAAGGAACCAGGGAGGCCAGAGCATGAGTGATGCCTCAGAATCCTGAAGATTCCAGAACATTCCGGAAGCTGTACCCACATCCATGTCTGTTGCCTTGTTTGCTCTGATGTGGGCCCAATGTAGAAAGATTCTTCAGAGGAAGACCCACAGCATTGGGGGGGGGGACACTAGGTCTCCAGCTACTAGATAAAAGTTGGGGGCTGGGGAAATGGCTCAAAGCCCTGAGTTCAGACTTTGCACGCGGGAGCCCGGGGTTCAATCCCCTGCACCCCAAACAAGGTCCCCCAAACACCATGGGGAGTAACCTCCCCCTCCCCGAGCCACATTAAGCCTCCTGTGGTGTTCCTAGAAGGCCAAGAGGGGGTCCTGGTCACCTACATGATCCCGGTTTGCTCAGCCCACGGCAGACTGTTACTTTAAACATCACTGTACCCCCAGGAATGGGGTACCGGGGGCATATTGAGAAACAGCAGTGGTCCAGAAGTAGGGCCAGATCTTGGGGACCCCTTTCCCCCTCTGATGGGCTTCACCCCACAGCCGGCTGGTTACTGAACCTGCAACATTTGACCCTGGGAGCACAGATCGGAGAAGGGGAGTTTGGAGGTGAGTGGGGTGCAGGGATAGAGGGAGATGGGGCAACTTCCTGGGCTTTTATTTATTTATTTATTTGTTTTGCTTTTTGGGTCACACTCAGCGATGCTCAGTGGTTACTCCTGGCTCTGCACTCAGGAATCACTCCTGGCAGTGCTCGGGGGACCCTATGGGATGCTGGGAATCGAACCCGGGTCAGCCGCGTGCGAGGCAAACGCTCTACCCGCTGTGCTATTGCTCCAGCCCCTTCCTGAGGTTTTAGAGTCACCAGACTTTAGACTGACTTTCAGGGACAGAGAGCAATAGAGAAAATAGTGCTTCCCTTGCATGCTGCCAACCCGGGTTCGATCCCGGCACCCCTTAGGGTCCCTGAGCACAGAGCCAGGAGTAAGCCCTGAGCACTGCTGGTTGTGGTTCCAAAAGAACGGAAAAAGCAAAAACAGATCCACCTGCTGTAAGGCTGGAGACTGAGCCTCAGGTGGCCACTTGGAAAAGACAGTTGAAAAAGTTGGGGTGCTAGGGGCTAGAGCGATAGTTACAGCGCATAGGGCTTTGCCTTGCATGCAGCCAACCCAGGTTCGATTCCCAGCATCCCATATGATCCCCATATGATTGCCAGGAGTAATTCCTGAGAGAAGAGCCAGGAGTAACCCCTGTGCATCACCGGTGTGACCCAAAAAGGAAAAAAAAGTTGGGGTGCTATAGAGATAATACATCGGGGAGGATGCTTGCCTTGTATGTGGCTGATGCGAGGTCAATCCCCGGCACCCCTTAGGGTCCCTGAGCCCACTAAGCGTAATTCCTGAGGGCAGAGCCAGGAGTAACCCCTGAGCACCGCCGGGTGTGCCTCCCCCCAAAAAAAGCAGTGGGGATAGCTGGACCTGAGTACGATCCCTGGCACTCCATAAGGTCCCCTGAGTCTGCCAGGAATGCAGGAATGATCTCTGGTGCAGAGCCAGGAGTCAGCCCTGAGCACCACCAAAAAAAAAAAAAAATTAAAGGAAAAATGGAAATTATGGGAGGGGCCTGGCAGGTTGAGCCTGTGCTTTGCATGCAGGGGGCCGAGGGACTACACCCGGATTGACCGCTCACCCCCAAGCACAGCAGGGTGGGCTTGGGGGGGTGCCTGGCAGTCTCCTCACACCTAAGGCCAGAGACTACAGGGAAATACACAGGTGTGGCCCACGGCTGCTGAGGCAGCTGTTTCCGGCCCCTGGGGTGTGGACCGCGTGTAATTTTCCAACAACTCTTTAAAGCCTGAGCACAGGGCGGGGAGGAGGGGCCAAGGGCTGGAACACACGTTTTGCATACGGGTGATGCCCACAGCACAGGCACAGTCCCTCCCTCCCAAGCAGTTCTGGAGCCCCAACACGCAGGAGCCCCAATAAAAAGCCAAAAAAAAATCAGCGTGGGCCCGTGGCTTGGCCGAATCTCTACCGTCGAGTTCAGGGTCTGGTCAAGTAGGAGGCGGTTTAGGGCGCGGCAGCGGTCCGCCAGGAGCGGGCTCCGGGCGCGTCCGTCCTTGTCTGTCTCCTGGTCTCTGCCCACAGCCGTCCTGCAGGGCGAGTACTTGGGCCAGAAGGTGGCAGTGAAGAACATCAAGTGCGACGTGACGGCCCAGGCCTTCCTAGACGAGACCGCTGTCATGACGTGAGTCCCCCAGCCCCAAGGTCTTGTTAGAGCGTCCTGGGCGGGGCCTGAGTGTTTGGGTGTGGCTTGCATGGGCGGGGCGGGGCCTGCATGAGCAAGGTGGTACAGGGCCTGAGCGTTTGGGGGCGGGATCTGCGCTGTTGCGGGTGGTGGGGGGGGCCTGTGTGTCCTGGTCACCTCCTCACCTGACCCCTGCCCGCCTCCAGGAAGATGCAGCATAAGAACCTGGTGCGTCTCCTGGGTGTGATTCTGCACCAGGGGCTCTACATCGTGATGGAGCACGTGAGCAAGGTGGGGGCGGGGCCTGACTGGGTCTGCGTGGGCCCGAGGTGGGGGCGGGGCTTGCATTGTTGAGGTCGGGTGGGTGGGGGGCTGGAGCTGCGTATGTGTCGACAGAGCCTGCTTGGGGCCGAGTAGAGTGGGCCTGAGTGGGTGGTGAAGGACCTGCGTGGGTCTGAGGTAGACTGGGGCCACGTGGGTGGGAGTGTGCCTTGTATACGTCAGGCGGGGCCTGTGTGGGTGAAGGCAAGGACTTGCGTAGGTGGGCGAGGCCTGTGTGGCATGGGGCGAAATGGGCCTGAGGAGGGTGGGTGTAGGCAGGGTCTGAGTGGTGGGTGGGGTGGGACCTGCGTGGGTCTGCAGTGGAGTGGGGCCACGTGAATGGGGCAGAGCTTAAATATGTGAGGCGGGGCCTATGTGGACGAGGGCGTGGCTTGCATGGGTGGGGCGGGGCCTACATGAGCAAGTTGGTATGACCTAGTAGCTGGGGGTGGGGTCTGAGTGGTTGGGGCGGAGCCTGAGTGTTGGGGTGTAGCCTGCATGGGTGGGGCGGGGCCTGAATGAGCATAGCGGTACGGGCCTGCCCGGTTGGGGGCGGGGCCTGAGCAGTTGGGGCGGGGCCTGAGCGTTGGGGCGGGGCCCGAGTGTTGGGGGCGGGGCCTGCATGATCTAAGGTTCTAATGGGGGATTGGGTAGGACTGGCTGTAAGGTCAGGCTGTTGCGGGGGCGGTGGGGACGGGGGTGGGGTGGGGTGGGAGGGTGCGCTTCACTGTAAGGTGGGCAGGAGCATGTGCGCTTGCATCTGTCCAAGTGTGTGCCATCATAGTTGGTGCCAATCTCGAGGGCCGGCCTCGCGGGGGACCCGCTATGTGGGGCTGGCCGTGAGTGGGCGTGGTCATATGTGGGGGTGGGAGGTGTTGGAAGCCGGCTGGGCATACTTGAACCCCCTCCCCAACACCCACAGGGTAACCTGGTGAACTTCCTGCGCACGCGGGGCCGTGCCCTGGTGAACACCCCCCAGCTTTTGCAGTTCTCCCTGTGAGTGCGGGTCCTGGGGGCCGGGAGGGTGTGGGAGGGGCTCCCAGGGCCAGAGGGGAACGGTGCCCGGTGCCCGGTGCCCGCCCTCCGCAGACACGTGGCGGAGGGCATGGAGTACCTGGAGAGCAAGAAGCTGGTGCACCGGGACCTGGCGGCCCGCAACATCCTGATTTCTGAGGACCTGGTGGCCAAGGTCAGCGACTTCGGTCTGGCCAAGGCCGAGCGCAAGGGGCTGGACTCCAGCCGCCTGCCAGTCAAATGGACGGCCCCGGAGGCGCTCAAACACGGGGTGAGCACCTGCCGAGTAGGGGGTGGGACCTGGGGGCTCCTGGTCCCGGCTCCTGAGTGGTCCCAAGCAGGGTCTAACCCGACTGTTCCTCCTAGCGACCTTGAGACCATCTCCTGGGTGGTCCCATCGGACCCTTGGTTTCCCCACTTTCCAGCCTCCGACTTGGCCCCTTCTGGGCTCATCTGGGGGGTGCTGGAGGGGGGTGGGCGAGGACTTCAGAACTCAGTCGGGAGGAGTCCAGAGTGTGCTGGGTCAACCCAGAGGTACTTCCTGGAGGAGGCGAGGGGCTGCCGCAACGCCCCCGTCCTCATCGCCGGGATCTCGGGCCCCACAGAAGTTCTCCAGCAAGTCGGATGTCTGGAGTTTCGGGGTGCTGCTGTGGGAGGTCTTCTCATACGGCCGAGCTCCTTATCCTAAGATGGTGAGTGGAGGAGGGGCTGGGGTCCCCGCGCGGGCCTGGGAGCCGCGCTCTGACGTCATGGGGGGCGTCCCCTACCTGTGCTCACAGTCGCTAAAGGAGGTGTCGGAGGCCGTGGAGAAGGGGTACCGCATGGAGCCCCCCGAGGGCTGCCCGGCGCCCGTGCACGCGCTCATGGGCAGCTGCTGGGAGACCGAGCCCGCGCGCCGGCCGCCCTTCCGCAAACTGGTCGAGAAGCTGGCTCGGGAGCTCCGCAGCGCGGGCGCCCCGGCCCCCGCCGTCGGGGGGCAGGACCCCGAGGACGCCCCCTCGCCCCGCGGCCAGGAGCCCTGATGCCTCTGACCGGGACCAGAGACCAAGGTGTGGGGCGGGCAGGGTCGAGCGAGCCCCTGGAGTCCCCCCCACCCCAGGCCCAGGGACACGGAGGGATGGAGCCTGATAAAGATGGTTTGTGAGAACTGGGGGTGTGAGTCTCTCTGCGACCCCCCGCCCCCCGCGGTCCATGCTGGAGGAGGGGGGCGGGGAGCGGGGTCCCCTTCGCTCAGTCTGCGGTGCTGCCGGCAGGTGGCGCTGTGTCCCTGTGGCACCACCAGATACTACCCCCCCACCCCCCCGCCCCTTCCCCACACCTCCGGCCTCACCCAGGGGTCCTCATGGGAGCTCTGTGGACCCCGAATCCAGGCTGAGAACGCTGAGACCCCGCCCTGATCCTGGGGTTGCTGGGGGGAGGCCTCGTGTCCACCTGGACAGCCCCATGCCCTGACCGCTGACGGGGAGGTCAGTCCCGAGGCCCCCTCCTGCCCCTGCTCTGGGGGCCTGGAGCTCCCTGCACCCCTCAGTCATCCCTGGTGGGGGTGTGAGGGGTGTGAGCATGGTGCTTGTAAGGACCCCTGAGTGGGGTGGGGGGACCCGGGTAGCCCAAAGCACATTCTTCTTCGCTCCCCCAGCCCCAAAGCTGAGCCTGAGAAATACCAAGCTGGGGGGGGGGGGGGGGAGTAATAGCACAGCGGGAGGGCGCTGGCCTTGCACATGGCCGACCTGGCTTCGATCCCTGGCACCTCTAGGGGTCTTCCAGACCCACTCTATGCCCCAAGCCCCCGCCAAGAAGAGCCTGACCCCAAGTAATCAGTCCCAGGGAGCCCCACTCACAGGATGCGATGATGTTGATGTCAGAAAATTATCCCCTCCCTGCCCCCACCTGCCTTGCTCCCCCACCCATGCCCCGCTCCGGGCCCTGCCCCCCCCCATGCCTGAGCCTCTCTATTCTACGTGTGACCTCCTTCAGACCTGCCTCCGTCCCTGCTTTCTCCCTCTTTCACTCCTGCCCCTCGCCTGCTGTCTTGGGGGTACCCTGGTGTGAGATTCCCCCACCCCCTCACCCTAGAATCTGGGACCAGGCGCATTCTCAAGCCTCTTTCTCATTATTTCCCATCTGCCCTGGCGTCCGCGGTTCTTGGGCCAGTCCGTCTGTGGAATGCCATGCCCACCCCTTTCCCGGTGGGCTCTGGGGATCGGGCCCACCTGCTGCCCCCCCCCCCCCGGCACCTGGTGTGCCCTCCCTGTTCCCAGCACCCACCCTGCACACCCGCCACCACCCCCATCAGCTCCCTTCATGGGGAACCCAGCCCCTCCTCCCCCCCCTCCCCAAACTCTTACCTCGTATTCTGCCAATGTCCTTTCTGCGGGGCCCTGGGCACAGCTCTGAGGTACAAGTGCCTGCAGGCACGAGGCCGAGATCGCTCCCTGGCACTGCCCACGTGCCCAAGTGAGCTCTGGGCATTTCAGTGGCCTGGGACCACCAGCCCCAGCCAGGCATGCATGGGCTCCACAGTGAAACACGGACCAGGAGGGCAAGGGAGAGCCGAGCTCAGACTCTTCGTGCAGGACTCCCAGGTTCCAGCCCTGTCAATGCAGCATCCCCAACACCTCCTGGAACAGACCCTGAGCAGTCTCTCCCAAAGTGGGTGGCATGCCCCTCCGGAGGGGCATGCGGGTGACCCAGGGGGCATTGATAGCCTCAGGGGAGGGGGTTGTCTTGTTTGCTTCTGTGAAACAGTACCTGGCGTACAGTAAGTGCTCAATAAACGTTGACTCAGTGATTGACCTCCTAGTCATACCTCAAAACCCAGCTAAAATGCTACCTGCTTCCTGTCCAAGGGCCCAATCTCCACCTCTCAGGAGTTCAGTTTCCTGTTGATACTGGAGAATATAAGCACCTCCTTGGGTAAGACAGGAATGAACCACAGGCCAGCCAGAAGATGTACTCTTTATGTATGTATGGATATATGTATGGCTTTCGGGCCACACCCGGCGAAACTCAGGGTTTGCTCCTGGCTCTGCACTCAGGAAGCACCCCTGGCAGTGCTCAGGGGACCTTAGAGGGGGCCAGAGATTAAGCCCCGCTTGGCCCCGTGCAAGGCAAGCGCCCTACCTGCTGGACTATCTCTCCAGTCACGGGCCTCTTTACTTTCTCTCCCAGAGAGATGGTTCAGTGGGTAGGGCACTTGGTCTTGCATGTGACCAACCCAGGTGCAATCCCCAGCATCCCACACTGGTCCCCTAAGCACTGCCAGGAGTAATAACTGAGTGAAGACTCAGGAGACAACTCCTGAGCATTGGTGGTGTGGTCCAAAAACCAGAAAAAAAAAAACCATCCTACACATGAGAACCAGAGTGGGAGGAACCACCACAGAGGCGGGGCCACGGTATGGGTGGAGCCATGGTAGGGGTAGGGTGGGGCCACCGTGTAGGTGGAGCCAGGGCAGGGGCACGGTGTGGGTGGAGCCATGGCAGCAGGGCAGGGCTGTGGGGTGGAGCGAGAGAAGAGAGGGGAGAGGGAGACACAGAAGGGCAGTCTACAGTCATGGGGAAGGGTGGGGACACCGGGTCACGTGAGTCAGACAAACCCCACCCCCATCACCACCCGCTGGCCTGTCTCTGCTGTCCTGTCCCTCTGGGAGGGGGCAAGGGCAGTCAGCAGCTGGGGAGAGGGGCGGTGAGGACGGCTCCGAGAGCAGCAGCGCCACAGAAAAGGCTTCTGTCCAGCTGCGTCCGCTTGACGCGGCCTCTAGGCCCCCCACTACCCAAAGCTGCACCAGCCTGAAGCTCAGGCGCAGGTAGGGACAAGACCAGCCCGCCAGCGATGGGGCAGGTGCCGAAGGCCACGGAGAAATCAGGGAGGGTCTCCTGGAGGAGGGGTGTGGGAGGGGGGCAGTTAGGCTCGAGTTTGTTGGACGGGAAGCAGAAAAGCCTCTTCTCAGGTGCCCCCGCAAATGATGCGGGTGGCCCGGCGGGGGAGGGAGCGTCCAGTGAGCAGGGAGGAGGCGCGGCCAGCCTGCAGATTTCCTTCCAGAACCACCAGAGCATCTGGCGTTTGGGTGGAGGGGACGCTGTAGCAGCCCCAAGGTTCCCAGAGGCTGTCTCTGACCCCTCCTCCAGACCTGACCCCACCCCCTACTGGATCTGGTCTCCTGGAGGGCTTCCTGCCGGAAGAGGCGTCCCTGTAGCTGCGAGGAGCATACACAGGGCCTGGACAACCAGTCCGCCCTTGTCAGCCTGTCAGAGCTGTCAGAGCCTCCGCCTCCGTCCAGGCCAAGGTCACAGGTGGCCACTTGCCCACGAGCGGGGCTTGTAACAGCAGGATGGAGGAAAGACTAAAGGGAGCACATGCCTAGCATGCACGGGGCCCGGGTTCAATGCCCAGCACCATTGACCCTGAAACCTCAGAATTCGGTCCATTGCAGGAGCTGCCCCTGTCCAGTTTATGTAGGACTGGAGGGGATGGGGACACCGTGTGGGCGGAGCTATTGCAGGAGGGGCGTGGCATTACGTGGGTGGAGCCATTGTAGTGGAGGTGGGGCCATTGCAGGGGGCGTGGCATCACGTGGGTGGAGCCATCACTGGAGGCAACCAAGGGGGTTTTGGGAAGCGGGAGTCTGGCTGGCTCCCGCTTACAGGGCACACTTCTTATTGGGCTGTAGCCTGGAGGATGGGGAGGGAGGTCAAGACTTGGGGAGCAGTGAGGAAGGGCGGGAAAGGGCCGGCCAGATCCCTGCCCCTTCCCTCCAGCCCTGCCTGAAGTGGGTATGGGCAGCAGCGGGCTCCCCCAGCCCTGCCCGGGCACCACCCTCCTCGGGCTTCAACAGCCAGAGCACCATGAAGAGTGGGTCAACAGCCAGCACATGCCTCGAATGGGTGAGGTCCTGGGTTCGGTTCCCTGGCACCTCCAAAAACATTTTTTTTAATAAGTGAGTGTACCCAGAGATGGAGAGAGCCACATGGTGGTCGGCAGAAGGGCCTGGATCCAGCCGTGCCTGAAGCCAGTTACTCCTGGAGTTCAGGTCCTGAAGTTCACGGACTCTCTACTGCTTGGGGGCGCTGGCCTTGAATCCCTGACAGAAGAAAATCCTCCTCTGAAGAACAAGGGCTCGGGCCTCCCGGGCAACAGGATTCCAGGTGCTAAGCCTGGGCGTTGGGGGCAGCTGAGCGAGGCCGTTGTCCAGCGAGTGTCCACACGAGTGGGAGCTAGAACTTCCGGCTCTTGCTCAGGCGGTTGTTCCGCCAGATGTTCTGTTTCCGCAGCAGCCGCCAGTACTCCCGGGACTCGGGGTCTAGCTCCTCCAGCGTCTTGGGGGGCCCCAAGTTCATTTGGAACAGCCTGTTGGCCAAGGGAGCACGGGGGCGGGGTCAGGGGTTGCCCAGCGGCTCTCCGCAGCACCGCCAGTCCTGCCCATGTTGGAGCGGGCACTGGCCCACGGCTACCAGGGGCATGCACTGGGCCATCGCTAGCCCCACCCCTTCTGGGCATTTCATGCCAGCTTCCTGCCTGCTCCCCCTCCTGCTGCCTCCGCCTGGGGACCCCCGCCCACTGGGTTCTTCACCCAGGCACACACTCTGGGGAGATGCCCCATATACACGCTCACCTCCTGGGTGGGCCCATCCCCTTCATTCATGGGCTAAGCAAGGACTTGCTCTCATCCCAGTTACTCCCATCAACCTCCACTCCCCAGTGGCTTAACCCACCCCTACCTCCCCCCCTCCCCCCCCGTTTTGTTTACTTGGTGTCCACATCTTTTCTTTTTTTTTTTCTTTTGCGCTTTTTTTCGGTCACACCCCGCGATGCTCACGGGTTCCTCCTGGCTCCGCATTCAGGAATTACTCCAGGAGAGGCTTGGGGTGCCATATGGGATACTGGAGATCGAACCCAAGTCAGCCGTGTGCAAGGCAAACACCCTACCCGCTGTACTATGGCTCTTGCCCCTCCACGTTTTTTGAATAGGTGGGACCACACCAGCAGTGCCTAGGGGCTACTCTTGGTCTAGTGCTCGGCTGTCTCTCCCTGCAGTGCTCACAGGGTGCTCCCTGCATTGCTGGGGCCCCTGTAGCATGTGTGTTGGGGGGGGTGAGAAGGAACCCAGACCTCCAGTGGGTGCAGGATGTGTGTCCCTGTGTCCCCAGCCCCACACGGGGGCTTCTGCCCGCTGTCCTAGCCCTGTCCCCAGAGGACAGCTGTGCGGCAGCTGCTGGTGGGAGAGGCCGCCCAAGGAGAGTGGGGTCACACATGGCTGAGTCAGGGGTTGTCCTCTGCTCCCCCTGGGGAGCCCCCACTGGCCACTCACCACTCAGGGTACTCAGAGTCGGGTTTCAGGGCCACATCCTCGCCTCCCTTGTAGATGTTGACGCCCATGGCGTGTGTGGTCAGCCGGGCTGGGTCCGTGCACACATCCGGGTCCTTCAGGGCCTCGCTGGGCACTCCACCTTTGCCGCCCTTGCCCCCCTTTATGACTGAGGGAGAGAAGTGGGGGAGACCGTCAGTGGAGACCAGCTGGACGCCCCCTGCCTATCCCACCCAGCCCAGGGCCCAGCCTGACCATCTGCAGCACTCAAAATGACTTTTTTTTTTTTTTGGTTTTGGAGGGGTCACAGCTGGCAGGTGCTCAGGGGTCACTCTGGACAGTGCTGGGTGTGTGTGTGTGTACACTATTGGGGTCACATCCTGATTTTGGGCAAAACTTACATTTTGGGGGGTGGGGGGTTGTGCCACACCCAGATAAGCTCAGGAATCACTCCTGGTGGGCTCTGGGATTCTGGGGATCAAACCAGGCTGGCCACGTGCAAGCGCCTTGCCCACTGTACTATGGCTCCAGTCCTAAAACCTACATTTCTTTTGGCTGTTGATTTTGGGACCACAGCCAGCGATGCTCAGGGTTTACTCCTAGCTCTCTGCTCAGGGCTCACTCCTGGCAGGGCTCAGGGGAACTTACGGGACACCAGGAATGGAACCCGAGAGTAAGTGCCCGACCCGCCGAACTACTGCTCGGGTCCCACAACCTGCATTTCAAGACCCCTTGTGATAAGGACCCCTCAACACGACCTTCACGACGACATTCACGATTTAGTGGATTATGCACTAAATCGTGAGCACAGGGGCCGGAGCGACAGCACAGCAGGGAAGGTGCTTGACTTGTGCCCAATAAACAGTGAGCTCAGACAGTGACCAGGTCCCGCCTGCCTTTGCATTTGTTATGGTTGTTTGTTTGGGGGTCAGGGACTACTCAGGCAGAGCCGCAGATGACACTCCTGCAAGCAAACGCACGCGATCAGGCTCAGCCTCGGAGGCCTTCCTTCAGTCCTGATTCCTGCCTCTCCCGGGGCTGTTGTGTGTCTTCAAAGCCTGTCGCTGGCCGGTCCCCCCTCCTTACTGCCAAGGAGACTTTCATCCGCTTTGCAGTTTCAACAATCACCCTGGAATTTCCGGTGCAGACCCGACCAAGAAGGCAGGAACTGGACCGGAACGCAAGTTTATTTTTTTTTTAGAATATTTATTTTTCTTTTATTTTTCTTTTGCTTTTTGGGTCACACCCAGTGTTACTCAGGGGTTATTCCTGGTTCTGCGCTCAGGAATTACTCCTGGCAGTGCTTGGGGGACCATATGGGATGCCGGGGATCGAACCCAGGTCGGCTGCGTGCAGGGCAAACGCCCTACCCGCTGTGCTATCGCTCCGGCCCCGGAACGCAAGTTTAGACTACCTCCCACACAGGGTGCTCAAGTCTGGCGCACATACCAAGAAATTTCGATTTTTTTTTTTTTTGCAGGGGTGGGGTAGGGAGGGGTCACAGCCGGCGTTACTCAGGGTAACTCCTGGTTCTGCACTGAGGGATCACTCCTGGTAGGGATCGGGAGACCATATGAGCTTCAGGGGATGGAATCCGGTGCACAGCAAGCGCCCACCTCGCAGTCCTAACGCTCTCACCCCTCAAGCGGCGGACTGACCCATGCGCAAGTGCATGCGCACTGAGTGCCACGGGCAACACCCCCCCCCTTACCGTCGGGGGCCGAAGCCACCGCTGCGCTTGCGCGGACTGCGCCCGTCCACGCCTGCGCAGTGACTCCCACCCTCCACCCCACCCCCGCGCGTCCCCACAACAGCGCCTGCGCACTGCCACTATCACAACGCCCGGCCGCCCGCATCTTGGTTCCTCTCAACCCAGCTTACCCGGTCTCTTGGCATAACCACGGACGACACATCTGCCGGGATCGGCGGGCTCCGGGAGTTCCCTGGGCCACCAGCCGACCCAGAATCGGGCAACCCCAAAGAGCCGTCTAGCCGCCATGACGTATGCCCGCGGCTTGCACGTGCACGTTTCCGGAGATGTCAGAGCCGAATTGGGTGCTTGGGAGTTGTAGGCGCTTGGCGACTTCTGGGAAATGTAGTCTCCTAGCACTCGTGCATGCCTTAGTGTTTCCCTGGGGGGAAACTTTCACAGGCTGTTTCCTCGACTTCCCATCGTCTTATTCTTATTACTTACTTTATTATTTTATTTATTTTGGTCTCAGGATTATTCTTGGCGGCGTTCAGAGGACCTTGCAGTGCAGAATCAAACTTAGATCAGTCAAGCACTGTACCGTCCCTCTGGTTTCATCTTATTATTTACTTTATTTTGGGGATCACACCCAGCGATGCTCAGGGCTTACTCCTGGCCCTGCATTCAGCTCAGGACTTACCGCTGGCGGTGCCCAGTGGACCCGATGGGATGACCAGGATCGAACCCAGGTTGGCTGTGTGCAAGGCAAACGTCCTCCCTGCTGTTCTGTAGCTCCGGGTCCCTATCTGCTTTAAAGATCACTTCCTCTAGCGGCCTGTAGAGCTCATATTTGTATGGATAAGGCCCGGAGTTCCATCCTGGCACCAATTCCAACGTTCCTAACGCCATTCGATGAGCAGTTACAACCGGAAAAACAATCAAAGCAGATATTTCATGGGACTGGAGCATAGTACAGCAGGTAGGGCGTTTGCCGTGCACGCGGCCAACCCGGGTTTGATTCCCAGCATCCCATAAATTCCCCCGAGCACCGACAGGAGTAATTTCTGAGTGCAGAGCCAGGATTAACCCCTGAGCATCGCAGAGTGTGACCCAAAAAGGAAAAAAAAGGTATTTCAATATACTCCCGTCCTGTAGCCCCATTTCTTAGCCGCTTGACCTCATTTAATCCTCACAATTTAGGAGGTATTATTACCTCCGGTTTGTACTTAAAGCGGAAGCTCAGGATGCACTTTTCTGTCTCCACGCTGTGAGAGCAATTGGAAGTCTGTTGTCCTCCGGCTTCCCACGCTCCATGTCAGCCCGGATTTTTCCCCATCTGCCACCTCCAGGGATAATGACACAGGGATAGGTGACAAGCAGGGATTATGAACCCCACTCAGCCAGATCCAGATGGCAGTTGCGAAAACACACACACACACATACACACACACACACACATGCACACAAACACATAGCCCATGCACGCGTGTACGCGCCGCAGAACTACATTCCCCAGAAGCCCCCGCGCATATGCGCATGCTCAGTGTGGCAGAAGGCGGCTCAGTTCTCTTTGCCGGCGCCCAGCCGGGACGGATCAGGCTGTCCCGGGACACGGGGATTCTGGGCGATACTACGCGGGGTGAGGCCACCTTGGACTAGGAAGTGAGTTTTCCCACGGGGCAGAGCGGGCTCTCGGAAAAGTTCGCAGGCTTTGAGACTGGCGTCTGCATGAGATTGATTGGGAGTCTGAACTTTTCGTCTCAGGCTCCAGTTGAGTTTTCAGGCTGCGTTCTGAGGTTCGGGGTGGGAGTCTGGGGGCGATCTGGAGCGAGACAGACGGAATTGTCTAGATGAGGGTCCGCTTCCTGATGCCTTGGGAACCCGGCAATAAGCCTGGAATCCTGGGTCGAACCTCCTGGGCGGAGTTTCCAGAGTTTTTGGGTCTGGACGAGCCCCGTTCCAGACCGATCAGCGCCTGCAAGGTAGAACCCCAGACGGGGCTCCGCATGGTGGCTGAGAGCTTGGGAAAAGCAGGGCTGGGGAACAGGGGTCACGGGCGGGGGCGAGGTCTGGGGCAGCAGGCCTGGGTACACCCTGGGGTTCTGAGTGAGGAGCTGGAGAGGTTGGGCAAGTTCCAGGGAATTCCCCCCAGCCCCTAGATTTAGAGCCCCAGATGCCAGTGCCGTCCACACTGTGGGGGTTCAGTGACAGCTTCTGGGGGATCCCATCTAGAGAAATGCACGTGTCACCCCACCCCCAGAAAATCTCATCGTTGTCCTCTTTCAGATGTTGCCCTGAGTCTGGTGTCCAGGTATGGACTTCCTGACGGCCCCCCAGGACCCCCCAGGGTCCCCGGCTATGGACTTGGAGGAGCCCCAAGACCCTCTGACACTTTGCCAGGACCCCACTCCGGCCTGTGCATGGAACCCAGCACCTGGAGGCCCCAGCGATCTGAGTCACATGGACCTTGACGGGACCCGTCTCCAGGATCTGGTTCAGCAGTTTGAGGCCCTGCCTGGAGATCTGGTGGGCTTGGCCCCCGATGCGCCCCCTTGCCCCCTACACATTGCCACTGGCCATGGCCTGGCCCCTCTGGACACAGTGGGAGCCCACGGACTCTTGTCGACCGAGGCTGATCGGGAAGACCTGCTGAGCCTTCTGCATGGCGAGAAGCATCCTCCTGCCCAGCCCAGCCCCGAGGAGCCCCCGGATCCCGCCCCTCGCCTGCTGCAGCCCCCTGAGGACCCGCAGGAGGATCCGGGCCCCCCAGAGTGGGAAGAGGGAGCCTCTGCAGAACCGGGGAGCAGCCGTAGCTCAACCAGCTCCCCAGAAGCCTGGCTGGAGACCGCACCACTGGTGACCCCCGAAGAACCTCCCTCGGGGGCCCAGGTAGAGCTTGTCCCTCCCCTCGGGGCGCCTTCTCAGGGCTGGGCCATGCAGGGGTTCAGCCTGCCACTCTTCTGTCTCCTTCCAGAGCCCCGAGACCCCGACTTCATGCCCTGCCCTCCCGGAGGGTGAGTGTCCTGTCCACCCTGGCCCAGGGACTCTGGGGCACAGAATCAGCCTAAACCAGGCTCCCCAAATCTGACGCAGAGCTAGCCAGGAAGGAGTAGCTCTAGAGAAGTTTGTTTTCATTTCTAGAGAGCCGGCAGGTGGGTTTTAAACCAAATCCTGGTAGCCTGCAAGAGTTGACAGGCTTGAGAATGACCTAGAAAGACTCAGGGTGCTGGGGCAGGCGGGTGAGCAGTTGGTTTTAGAGCAGCGGTTGGCAAATTACCACCCACAGGCCAAGTGGGCCTAGCGTCCATGATCTCGTATGCTGTGAGCAAACACAGCTTTGGCGTTTTTATTTTTTAAATTTTGTGTCACACTCAGCAGTGCTCAGGGCCCACTCATGGCTCTGTGCTCTGCTGTGGCACAGGGGAACTTATAGGATACTGGGGATCAAACACTCAAACGCGGGGCAGAAGCGTACAAGGCAAGTGCCCTACCCAGTGTATTATCTCTTCAGCCCCTTATATATATGTCTGAGATTATATACATATATATTTTCGTTTGTTTTGTTTTGGGGCCATATCCAGCGATGCTCCAAGCTGGCAGGGCTCCAGGGCCCATATGGGATGCCAGGGACTGAACCTGGGTCAGCTATGTGCAAGGCAAATGCCCTCCCTGCTGCACCCTGACCCACAAAAAATTCTTTGAAATTGTTTTCTGCCACAGTGGAATCCAAGCCTCCCACGTGTTCTGTGACTGAGTCCTATACCTGGCTGGTTCTTTTGCAGTTTTGATTGGGTCGGGGTGGGGGTGTGGGTGTGAAATTTGGTTTTGTATTTTGGGGTTTTTTTTTGGGTGGGGGGGGATTTTGGCCACACCTAACTTTGGCCAGGACTTACTTCTGTGCTCAGGGATCATTCCTGGCGGGCTCAGGGGATAATACGGGGTGCCAGGGATCAAACAAACCCTGGGTGATGACTGGGGTGGAAGGCAAGAGCCCTACCGCTGTTCTGTTTCTCTGGCCCCTGAAAGAATATTTCTTGACACCTGAAAAAGGACATGCTGTTCAAATTTCAGTGTGTACAAATAAAGTTTTATTGGCACACAATCATGCCTCTTGATTTTGGAGTAGTTGGTGGCAGGTCCTGTGGTGGAATGGCCCAATTGAGTAGATGCAGCAAAGACCATCTCACCCACAAAGGCAAATTATTGGCACTTTGCAGAAAAATTTGCCAACCTCTGCCCTAAAAATATTGGGAGAACCAATTAGGGCCACCTGGAATGTTATAGAATGTACACACACACACACACACACACACACACACAGCCAGCCCTGAGCAGAGGGTATAGGTCAAAGAGTAAGTTCTATTGTATGAAGAGTAACTGGTTATCTGTAATTCCAAGAAGGTTCTAGAATTAGGGGTGGAGCTCTGACTCACCTAGAAAGTTCTAGAAACTTAGTTCTAGATTAAAGGAATCCAGGCTGGCAAGAGCGTTCTGGAATAAAGCACGGAAGTTCTAGAGCCTGGACTGGAGCGATAGTACAGAAGGGAGGGCGCTTGCTTTGCACGCAGCCAATCTGGGTTCGATCCCCAGCACCCCATATGTTTCCCTGAGTATCATCAGGAGTGACCCCTGAGTGTAGAGCCAGAAGGAAGTCCTGAGTAACACAGGCTGGGACTCCAAAAAAGAAAAGAGTTCTAGAGTCTGAGGCAATTAGTACTTCTCCGAGATGCATACACCCTAGGCGTTCCAGCACTGTGGATAAGGCTGATTCTAGACTCATCTTTAAGTCCAGGAAAGGTAAAACCTGTTAGGATTTTACTCTAGAACACTGTGTTAAGTTCTGGAACCCTGTTATCCAGATTTACTTCTAGGACCCTATTACCATTAGATATTGGTAATTCCAGGACATTACACTTGAAATGGGAAATCTCCGTCTCTTAAGCTTTTGACAAGGATCTTAGAGTTCCTCCTGTCGGACATCCAAGTCCAGTGCGCCTTTCACTGTTGGGACCCCGGCTCTGGCCTCTGTCTCAGCCAGTCCCATCCCAGAGCCTGAGATGCCCCGTGTGTGACTGCCAGTCACCCAGGACAATCTAGAACCCCAGGATGGAGGTGGCGGCGAAATGTTTAGGAGATAAAGGACAAAGGACAGAGCCAACTGTCCCTGTAATTCACCGAGAGGCTCCAAAACTGAGGTCTGTCCTTACAATGCATTGTTTGTTTGTTTGGGGGACCCCATTCAGCAGTGCTCAGGACTGACTCCTGGCTCTGCACTTAAGGATCACGCCTGGCGGGGCTCGGGGGATCCTATGCAGTGCTGGGGATTGAACCCAGGTCTGCAAGGCAAGTGCCCTTCCTGCTGTCCTATCGCTAAACAAACAAAAAATCCTCCAAAAACAAAACAAAACAAAGGTGAGAGCATTCTAGAACTGCTCGCAGGTCTAGACTTCTGGTTCTGGAAACTGATTCAGGGCTGGGTTTGGAGCCAAGCTTTTTGCTTCTGGGCTGTTCTGGTAACTGGGAGAGGTGAGCGTAGATTCGGAGGAACCCCAAGAATTTCAGGAAGAGCTGCCGCTCCTGGAGGGAGGAACCCAGAGACTCCGCAGAGATCCCACTTATCCAGAACCCCTGCTGTGAGCCTGCTTGGGAGTTCTGGAATCCTGAATGAGTCTCAAAATTGGCGTTTTCTTCATGCAAAGGGCAGGTTCTGTGCTGGCTCTGATGCTGCTGGGCTGATAGGAAATTTCAGAACAGGGAAGGGACAGAGTGGATGAGCAGGATTGAAAGGGATGAGGGCGATTCCAGAACCATACAGGGGTCTTACACACACACACACACACACACACACACACACACACACACACACGTTCTGTTTGGGTGAGTTTTAGAGTCAGGGCTGTATGTTCTAGAAATGTGGGGATCATAGAAAGGCAGGACAGAGGGGCGGGACCGAGAGTACTAGGAAGAGGGCGTTTGCCTTGCACGTGGCCAACCCGGGTTTGATCCCAGGCTCCCCCTAGGGTCCCCTGAGCATAGTCAGTAGTAATTCCTGAGTGCAGAGTTGGGAGTAACCTCTGAGCATCCAGGAGTAACCCCTGAGCATCGCCGGATGTAGCCCCCAAGAAAGGCAAGACACAGGCAGCTGTGAGCGTGGGCGGGCTGGGGTCTCACCTCAACGCGGGGCTCCCAGCAGCGCTAGAAAGGGCCCCTGAGCCCTTGCACCCCGGACCCAGCCAGCTCGAGAGGGGTGGACAGTTCCAGAGGAAGGGCTGACCCTCCGTGAGTCACTGGCTCAGGCTGCTGGGGTAGCCCAATGACGGGGTGGGGGGATCACCACCACTGTCCCCCCAGCAGTCCCCGGCCCCTGTGACCACGAGGACCTCCTGGACGGCGTGGTGTTCGGGGCCAAGTACCTGGGCTCCACACAGCTGGTGTCGGAGCGGAACCCTCCGCCCAGCACCCGCATGGCGCAGGCGCAGGAGGCCATGGACCGCGTCAAGGTGAGACCAGGGCGGGGCGGTGGGGCGGGGCCCGCAGAGGGAACACCCCCCCCCAGAGGCCCGTCGGACTCAAGATGGGGCTTTCGGGGTCTTTGCGGGCCCCCATCTGCTACCCCTCCAGGCGCCTGATGGGGAGTCGCAGCCCATGACGGACGTCGACCTGTTCGTGTCCACCAAGAGGGTTAAGGTGCTGACGGCCGGCTCGCAGGTACAGGCCAGCCCCGGGGTGGGTGGGGACGTGGGCAGGCTGCCAGGCCCTGCACCCTTCCACGCCACCCGTCTCTCCGCGCAGGAGACGCTCATGGACCACGCGCTGCAGACTGTGTCCTACACCGCCGACCTGGGCCACGTGCTGGTGCTCATGGCCCGGCGCAGACTGACCAGGGCCGCCCCGCACGCCACCGGCCGCCGGCTCTACCGCATGATCTGCCACGTCTTCCACTCCGAGGATGTGAGCCGGGGCTAGGGGGCTGCCCCCCCCCACCCACCCAAGGGCGACGCCCTTATACTCCCACCTCTCCCCCCGACCCTGGGTATCCCAGCAGCAGGCTGCCTCTGGGAATCAGTTCTAGTGGAAACCTTTTAAAATGCAGCATCCTTGGGGCTGGAGCGATAGCACAGCAGGGAGGGCACTTGCCTTGCACGCAGTCGACCCGGGGTTCGATCCCCAGAAACCCATATGGTTCCCCGAGCACTGCCAGGAGTAACTAACTCCTGTGCATCGCGGGGTGTGACCCAAAAAGCAAAAAATAAATAAAATGCAGCATGGGGTGGAGGGGCTGGAGCGATAGCACAGCGCGTAGGGCATTTGCCTTGCACGTGGCCGACCCGGGTGCAATTCTCAGCATCCCCTATGGTCCCCTGAGCACAGCCAGGAGTTAATTCCTAAGTGCAGGAGCCAGGAGTAACCCCTGAACATCGCTTGGTGTGATCCAAAAAGCAAAAAAAGGGCTGGAGAGATAGCACAGTGGGTTGGGCGTTTGCCGACCCGGGTTTGATTCCCAGCATCCCATAGGGTCCCCCGAGCACCACCAGGAGTGATTCCTGAGTGCAGAGCCAGGAGTAACCCCTATGCATTGCCGGATGTGACCCAAAAATCAAAAAAATAAATAAAAAATAAATAAATAAAGTGCAGAATCCCCACTCCCACCCCCAGGCCCAGCTGATCGCCCAAGCCATCGGGCAGGCCTTTGCCGTGGCCTATAGCCAGTTTCTGCGGGACAGTGGCCTGGATCCCAGCCAGGTGGCTGCCCAGCAGAACCAGGGGACATCCGGGCCTGGCCACCTGCACAATGGCGACCTGGACCACTTCTCCAACAGTGAGAACTGCAGGGAGGTGAGTCGGGATGCCTCCCAACCCACACCCCCTCTGGACCCACTGTGCCCAGCCCTCCCCGCCCCCAGTGGCCCACCATGCCCAACCCCACCATTCCCTCCTGCCCGCCAGGTGTGCATCGAGAAGCGCCGGGGTGAGGGCCTGGGCGTGGCCCTGGTGGAGTCAGGCTGGGGGTCCCTGCTGCCCACGGCCGTCATCGCCAACCTCCTGCACGGGGGTCCTGCCGAGCGCTCGGGGGCTCTCAGCATCGGGGACCGCCTGACCGCCATCAATGGGACCAGCCTGGTGGGGTTGCCCCTGGCCGCCTGCCAGGCCGCCGTCCGCGTGAGTGCCCGCAGGTGGCATGGGGCAGAGAGGGGGTGCCCGTCGGAAGGAGCTGCATGCGTGTTGGCATCCCGAGAGGGGAAACAGAGGCCTGCGGGTGGGGGTGGGGTCTGTAGCCAGGTCAAATCCGCCATCCCCGGCCCCACAGGAGGTGAAGTCACAGACCCTCGTGACCCTCAGCATCGTGCACTGCCCGCCAGTCACCACGGCCATCATCCGCCGGCCGCACGTCCGGGAGCAGCTGGGTTTCTGCGTGGAGGACGGCGTGGTGAGGCCCAGTGCTGCGCACCTGTGCGGCTGGGGGCGGGGTCCCGCCCGTGGCTCCGCCCAGACCACACCCCACCTGGGTCCTGGGGGCAATTCGGCCTTTGGCTCCACCCTGACCCTCACAGATCTGGGTAGAGGTCCTAAGCAGACGACTCCCATCTCCCCATAAGATCTGCGTGGTGGGGGCGGTTCCTCCCGGAGACCCGCCAGGCCACGCCCCTCTACAGCCACGCCCAGATCTGGGTAGTTCAAACAAGGTTCTGCCTAGGCCACGCCCTCCCAGCTCTATGGGGGCGGTTTCTCACGGAGCCCCGCCAAGGCCACACCCCTCCACCGCCCCTCCCTGGGTGGTTTCACACGTGGCTTCGCCCAGACCACACCCTCTTAGCTCTATGGGGGCGGTCCCTCCTGTAGCCCCGCCCAGACCACGCCCTCCACTTGCCCTCTCATCTCAGGTTTCCTCAGGGTTTCACCCTGGCCACGCCTTCCTAGCTCTGGGAGGCGGGCCCTACCGGAGCCCCGCCCAGACCACGCCCTCCACCTCCCCTCCTAAATCTAGGTGGTTCACTCATGGTTCCGCCCAGGCCAGGCTCTCCAGCTCTGTGGGGGCGGTTCCTCCCGGAGCCTTGCCCGGAACACACCCTCTTAGCTCTATGGGGGCAGTCCCTCCTGGAGCCCCGCCAAGACCACGCCCCCACCACCTCCCCTCCCAGATCTGGGTGGTTTCATGCATGGTTTCACCCTGCCACGCCCTCCTAGCTCTGGGAGGCGGGCCCTTCTGGAGCCCCGCCCAGACCACGCCCCCTCCACCTCCCTCCCCAGATCTGCAGCCTTCTCCGTGGTGGCATTGCAGAACGCGGTGGCGTGCGAGTTGGTCACCGCATCATTGAAATCAATGGGCAGAGCGTGGTGGCCACACCGCACGCCCGCGTCATCGAACTGCTGACTGAGGCCCATACTGAGGTGCGCGGGCAGTCGGGGTGGGGGGCAGTGGACGTTTCAGTGGCTGGCCCTCCCCGCAGCTGTCCCCAGCTGCCCACCTCTTCTCGCCTCTCCCTGCCCGCAGGTCCACATCAAGACCATGCCCGCCGCCACCTTCCGCCTGCTCACTGGCCAGGAGCAGCCCGTGTACGTGTGAACGGCCCCGCCCCCACCAGTCCACCACTGTGCCTTCGGCCCTCCACGGCCCGCCTTGGCTGGACCCCAAAGGATTCTCAGCGCTCTGTTGATCACGTAACAAATTAAATGCATATCAGACGGGCACGGTCTGGGCCCAGGGTCTGTGGGATCCCCCAGCTGTGTCCCCTCCCCTTCCCGGAAGCCACCAGAAGCAGTCGCTGTGAAAATATTCTGTTTATTACAGGCCCGGCAAAGGGTGTCAAGGTTCTGGGCTCCGAAAGGGAAAACAGAACCTCGGCTCCCAGCAGGCAAAGGGAGGTCGGGCTTGTTGGCTCCCTCTGCCTGGGAGGTTCACAGGTCGGTGGCTGGGCCCCAGTCGTACCCATCTTCATCTGAGGACTCCGTATCTCGGACTCGTGTAAACTTTTTCCTCAGAGCTTCCCGCTCATATGTCCTGGAAATCAGGAAATAGAAGCCAGGTTTGCAAGTGGAGAAAGCATAACCTTAACCCATAATCGGGCCCTGCCCGACTTGGTAGGTTTGGACAGACATGAGCTGGACAAGCATGGGGTTGCTCATGAACTCCTACACATCCTCTTGAACCCCAATTCCAATGCCCCTTCAGCATTGGAAACTATGGGGGGAGGGTGGTTTTGTCCATGGTTCTGCCCAGTCACGCAGCTCCTAGATCTATGGAGGTGGTCCAGACCTCGGCCACTCCCAGATCTGCCACCTTCTCCCTGGTTTTCCAACCCTCATGGGCAAGATTCCTTCTGCTGGGATGCTGAGAACATGTGATGGGGACGGTTCTGTCTGCCATTATCTCGTCCCCTTGGCTAGGAGCATCATGAACGCATAGCGTAATTCAAAAGTCTATCCTCAAAGCCCAGGAGAAGAGTCTGGGGCTCTTACCGCATGCTGTCCTGTCGCCACTGACCCTGCGGTTGGCGACTCTCCACCTTGTGAAAGAGAAAGACGGTTAACACTCGCCCTACCTGCTGTCTGACAAACACGAATAGCCACTCACCCCCTTGTCTTGGCCCCACACACCTGCAACACAATCCTGGTTTGGGGGTGCAGGGTGGGTGACCATGCCCAGGGGTGCTTAGGGCTTCGCTCTGTGCTCAGGGACCGCTCCCAGCAGGGTTTGGGGACCCAACAAGGTGCCAGGGACAGGACCCGGGTTGGACATGTGCAAGGCAAGTGTTTCCGCCCACTGTCTTCTCTCTCCAGCCCTGATTTCAAAACTGGGAGAGACCTAGGTGGAGTCGCCTTTCGCCTGTCAGGAAAAGCGGGGAGGGGAGGTTTCCCATCTGTGGATGGATGGAAAATTCCTCAGCGGAGCCTGTGTCCAGAGAGTGCTTAGGCCTGGCGGCTGCAGACCACAACAGCTGGCAGTGTGCTTTCCTGCTGGTCCTAGCTCAATCCATGGCACCAGATGCCACCCAAGCACCATCGGGGATGACCCCTGGACAGGGCTCGGAGTAGCTAATCCCCCAGTTCCACCGGGTATGAAGCAGAGAGCAGGAGAGGGGGCAGTGTGGGCAGGGGTCAGGCCAGCCTAGAAGTTGGTGCGGCAGCTTTGAGCTGCTGCCTTGCAAGCTTAGGGTCCTGAGTTCAGTCCCCGGTACTGCCACGTGGGTCCGGCAGCTCGACACATGATCTCTGGCCATACCACATCCGGCTGTCCATAGGCGCACAAAAGGGGCACCCTCCCACACCAGCACCACAATTAAGATAGTCAAGGGATAGGGAGTAGGGCGTTTTTGCCTTGCACGGGCCGACCCGGGTTCGATTCCCAGCATTCCACATGGTTCCCCGAGCACCGCCAGGAGTAATTCCCGAGTGCAACCCCAGGAATAATAACCCCTTGTGCATCGCCAGGTGTGACCCAAAAAAGCCAAAGAAGAAAAAGATATTCGAGCACCCAGTCGGGAAGGGGAACCTCTGACTAGGCACATCTGGGTTAAGTACAACCGCTCCTGGGGGTCAGCTGTGCGGCCGGGCTGCAAACAGCAGAGACCAAAGCAGTAGGACAGCCTTGCACGTGGCAGACCCGCGTTGGATCCCCGGCATCCCATCGGGAGCAATCCCTGAGTGCAGAGCCAGGGTGAGCCCTGAGCATCGCGGGCTGTGGCCCCCAAACCAAAACAAAACCAGCAAACAGAATCGCCCCCTCCGCAGAGGGTTGTGGACTGTCCACCCATGCACCCAAAGCCGGAATATCCACCCAAAGGGGCCAGGGGCTCTGCTATGTCCCAGGCTATCCGGAGGGAAATGGCGTGTTCCTAGCAGAGTCTGGGAACTGTGCCAGGGGAGCCGACGCCGCCCCTCCCCCCCACTCCCCCTACCCCCGCATAAGTGCTGAGTAAATATTTGTCACTGGAAACTCTCAAGTACCATGTTCCGGAACTTGGGCTAAGGGTGTCTGCACAAGTAGCTGGGTGTGCCCTGTAGACGCTCACCTCGCCCCGCGGCCAGATACGCCTTTACGACTTGGGTTTTAACCTGTCCCTGACTCAGCCACTTGGATACCAGGAGGGAGTCCAGGTTCCCGGAGACTGATCCTGCTCACTGTCTATCCTGCAATTACCCTGAGACCGTGCAGGGGACACCCTCTGACCCCCACCTCCTGCTCACCTGGGCCCCCCGGTGACCCGAGGACTGCTGGTGGCGAGGGGGACTCTGGGGTTCATCCACCAGCACGGGCTCTGAGGACCGGGCCAGGGCAGGTGCTCGGGGCTCATCATCCCCATCCGTGTGCAGCCCGCCCTCCCCATCCGTGTAGAAGCCGCCCTCGCCGTCCGTGTAGACACTGCCCTCGCCGTCCGTGTAGACGCCTCCCTCGCCATCTGTTTCGTAGTCACTGTTGACGCGGCTGTCACAGCTCAGATCCGCAGAGCTGTTGGCCAGGCCTCGGTAAGGCAGGTCTAGGTTGTCCTCAGAGGTGCTGTCCAGCTGCCAGGGTGAGAGGCATAACCCAGCTGGGGCAACCCCACCACACACACACACACACACACACACACACACACACATATACACACACAGCCCCTGACTCCGGAGCGCTCACCAATCACAGACCGGAAACTCGATCCCAGACAGCAAACCCCAAACCAGTGCAAGGCCCTGGGGAAGGGGACCGTGGGGCTGCACTGCACCCCCCCACAAACCCATATAGGTCAGCAATGCCTGGCATGGCCGCGTGGCCTCCTTCCCCCATCCCCGCCCCTCCAAAACCCTGAGCTTCAGGCAGTGAAAATTGTAAGAATTTGTAAGAAAATTGTAATTGTAAGAAGAATTCAGGGCCGGAGTGATAGCACTGCGGGAAAAGCGTTTGCTTTACACGCGGCCAACCTGGGTTTGATCCCCAACATCCCATAGGGTCCCGCAAACCCCACCAAGAGTAGTTTCTGAGTGCAGACCCAGGAATCAGCCCTGAGCACCACCGGGTGTGACCCAAATACTGACCAAAAAAATAAATAAAGGAAAAGAGCTGCCCTTCACCTTCCACGTGACCCCAGTCCTAACCCCAGGAGGTCTTGCAACTTGTGAGGCTCTGCTTTGCTGACACCGAACCCCCAAATATGAGCTCCAGCCCCATCGTATTCCAGGGGTCAGGTGAAACCCGAATGAATCTCAGGTCAAATCATTGATATTTTTTTTTCTTCCGTTTTGGGTCACACCCAGCAATACACAGGGGTTACTCCTGGCAGTGCTCGGGGGACCATATGGGATGCTGGAAATCGTACCCGGGACAGCCACATGCAAGGCAACCGCCCTACCCACTGTACTCCAGCTCCTTATTTGTTGTTGTTGTTAGTTGGTTTGGGGGTGGGAGACAGTTCAGGAACTCAGGCTTTGCCTGCGGGAATGCCTGATTCAATCAGGCGCTGCTGCGTGTACCTCTAGGGCACCCTGAACACTTCCAGGGGTGACCCTGGTGCCCCTGGCACCCCATAGAGCCAGGCCTGAGCACTGAGCTACCCGGCCAGTTGGTGAAGTGCTGATGCTTGGGAAACCCCCAAATTATCAAAGCTTTGTTTTGGAGCCAGTGCTCAGGGCCGACTCTGTGCTCAGGGATCCCTCTTGGCTACACTCATTGGGGGTGGGGGGGTGACTCTATGGGGTGCCGGGGATCGAACCCAAGTCTGCCGCGTGCAAGGCCAACGCCCTGCCCGCTGTGCTAGGGCTCCAACCGGAAATGGATGAACCTTGCCCCGACTCGTGTTCCATTCAGCCCTGCCCCCAGGCTCAGTACCTGGTCCTCAGCCGTCCAGATGGGCCGGGTCTGCTGCTGGCGGATCACGGCCTTCAGCTCCTCGTACCAGCTGTCACTCATGCCTCGCAGCGGGATGCTGGCTGCAGGGCAGGGCCCGTGAGCACCGGAGGCTCGCTGGTTCCCCCCTGCCGCGCCCCCTCCCCTGCGCCCCTGGCCCCAGGTGGGAACCTGTGAAGAGATGCTCGCTGTAGCGCTGCAGCTTCTGCGCCTGCGCGTACAGCCGCCGGGTGCTGCGGCGCGAGGCGGGGGCCAGCCACTGGCGCAGGGCCTTGAGGGCCTTCTGGGACTCGGGCACGCAGAAGACCACGATGGGGTAGTACTGGACATAGTTGAGGCGCTCCACGGCCGACGGCGTCACGTCCAGGAGCGCGTGTTTGTCCTGGGCGTCGGCGCGGGGAGGGGGGGGCAGGGAGGAGAGTCAGGGGCAGAAGGGGACAGCGGGGAGACAGGCAGGAGGGCAATGGGGGGGTGGGGGGGACAGGGTGCAGAAGGAGAAACAGCCCCGGAGGTTGACGAAACCCCTGGTCGGGTAGACTCCAAGTCAGGACAGGGATGGAGCCCAAGATCGGAGTGGACCCCGAATCAGGACAGAGCTTGCGGTCAAAGAGGGCTCGAGCAATTGCACAGTGGGTAAGGCGTTTGCCTTGCATGCGGCCCACCCAGGTTCGATATCCGGCATCCCATATGGTCCCCTGAGCACCGCCAGGAGTAATTCCTGACTGCATGAGCGAGGAGTAACCCCTGTGCATCGTTGGGTGTGACCCAAAAAGCAAAAAAAAAAAAAAAAAAAAAAGACCCAAAGTTGGGACAGGGATGGAACCAGCGGTTGAAGTGGACCCCAAGTTGGGACAGGGAT